GTGGCCGTTTGCGGTTCGGTACGCGGCGCATCAGATCAACCTTCACCCCAGGGTCTCCATGCCGGAGACCTCCCCAGCTTTGCTGTGGACGGGGAAGGTAGGCGATGCGTCTGCGTTCTGCGTCTGGGGATCTCGGGCGTTTGTCCGCGACTTGTCTGCGGACAAGCTGTCCCCTCGTGCTGCTCCTTGTGTCTTCCTTGGCTTCCCCCCTGACGCGCCAGGGTGGCAGTTCTACCACCCCACCTCTCATCGTGTTCTGTCCTCCCAGGACGTCGCGTTTGACGAGTCGGTCCCCTACTACCGCCTCTTCCCCTACCGCACTCCTTCCCTCCCCCCGCCACCGCTCTTCCTTGTGCCAGGTCCCCCCCCGGTAGACCCCCTTCCCCCTCAGGGTCCTGACCCTTCGGGTGTGTCCCAGATAGACGCAGTCGAGCCTGTCGAGGTTACTGGTGACTCTGGTGCTGCTGAGGGTGCTGAGCCTGGGGGTGCTGACTCTGAGGGTACTGAGCGTGTGGGTGCTACGCCTGGGGGTGCTGGGCCTTCTGGTGGTACTACTGGGGGTGCTACGCCTGCGGGTGCTGAGCCTGGGGGTGCTGAGCCTGGGGGTGCCACGTCTGGAGCTGCTGAGCTTGGGGGTGCGGAGCCTGGGGCCGCTGGGCCTTCTCGTGTGGCGTCTGGCGGTGCTGGGCCTGGAGGTCCTCCGGGTGCTTCGTCTCGGCGGGAGCCACTCTCTTCACAGGAGCTGCGCGAGTGGTTTGCCCGGCGCTGGAGGCGAGCTGCTGGAGCTGGAGCTTCTTCGGCTGCTGAGGGTGCTGGTGCCGCCGGTCCCGGAGGTGCTCGTACTAGGAGTGCTGGAGCTGCTGAGCCTGCGGGTACGACTGGAGCTGGAGCTACTGAGGGTGTTGGCGCTGAGGCTACTGCTGTCAGTCCTGGCGGCGGTCTTCCTGCGGGTGCTGCTGGTGCTGCTGGAGGTACTGCAGCTGGAGGTGCTGTTGGCGCTGGTGCTGCCGCTGGGGGTGCTAGTGCTGTCCCTGCTGTGTCTAGAGTCGCCGCGCGGCCTCGGTCGTACTTCGTTCCGCTTCTTCAGCAGGTTCTTGGTCTCCCGCCCTCTACTAGTCCTCCTCCTCCCTTAGAGTGTCCACTGCCTGCTCCATCTCCCTACACTGGTCCTACTGGAGGTCTTGCTGAGCGTCGTGAGCCTGCGTCTTGCCCTGCGTCGCCTGTCCGTGCTGCTCGCACTAGTGGTCGCGGTTCGCGTCAGCGTCCTCCTCCTGTCCCTGGCACGCACCGGATGTCTCTGCGTCCGTCCACTGCTCCTCTGCGTGCCCCTTTGCCTTCTCCTCCTGAGTCTTCTCTTCCTGCTCTTGCCGACCCGGAGTCGGGCTCTCTTCGTGCTGCCAGTCCTACTGTCACGCGTCTCCTTGCTACTGTCGTCACTGACCCTTCCTTTGAGTCCACTGCTGCTTCTGCCCTAGTTGCTGAGCTCGTCGACTTTGCTGCTCGCTGTCGTCTAGACTACGGTGCTAGTCTTGTCGCTGAGTCTGAGTCTGTCTGTCCTCCGTCCGTCGGGGGTGAGTGTGCCCTTGGCACCGACGTCCTTGAGGACAGGCAGGAGGAGTTCCAGTGTCTGGCTGCTGCTTCACCTCATCTCGTGTCCGTACTGCTTACCCCTGAGGGAGACCCGGATACACTTGACATCCCGACTCCGCGCTCTTACGCGGAGGCCGTAGAGGGTCCCTACTCCTCTCAGTGGCAGGCAGCTATGGATGCAGAGATGGCTTCCTGGAACTCCACAGGCACCTACGTTGACGCGGTTCCCCCACTTGGGGCGAACATCGTCAGTGGCATGTGGATCTTCAGGGTGAAGCAGCCACCAGGTTCTCCACCTGTATTCAAGGCGCGTTACGTGGCTCGTGGCTTCAGTCAGCGGCAGGGAGTTGACTACTTTCAGACCTTCTCTCCCATCCCGAAGATGACCACTCTTCGGGTGCTGCTGCACATAGCCGCTCAGCGCGACTACGAGCTTCACCCTCTTGACTTCAGCACAGCTTTCTTGCAAGGTAGCCTGCACGAGGAGATCTGGCTGCGCCGCCCACCTGGCTTCACTGGGACTTTTCCTCTTGGCACCCAGTGGAGCCACCGGCAGCCAGTCTACGGTCTCCGCCAGGCACCGCGTGAGTGGCACGACACACTGAGGACTACGCTTGCGGCTCTTGGGTTTGCTCCCTCTACTGCCGACCCGTCGCTGTTTCTGCGCACCGACACCTCTTTGCCGCCGTTCTACATCCTCGTGTACGTCGACGACTTGGTCTTTGCCACTGCTGACACTGCTGGACTCGCCCACATGAAGTCCGAGCTGCAGAAGAGACACACGTGCACTGACCTGGGTGAACTGCGCAGCTACCTTGGCTTGCAGATCACCCGGGACAGAGCACGCCGCACCATTAACCTGACTCAGTCACACATGGTGCAGCAGGTCCTTCAGCGCTTCGGCTTCACGTACTCCTCGCCTCAGGCCACTCCTCTGCCTACTCGCCACTCGCTCTCAGCTCTGCCTTCGGATGAGTCCGTAGAGTCGAGTGGCCCGTACCCAGAGCTTGTTGGCTGCCTTATGTACCTGATGACCTGCACACGACCTGACCTTGCATACCCTCTTAGCATTCTTGCACGCTATGTTGCTCCTGGGAGACACAGACCGGAGCACATGGCTGCAGCGAAGAGGGTGTTGCGCTACTTGTGCAGTACGTCGGGCATGGGGCTTGTGCTTGGAGGGCAGAGTCCAGTGGTCCTCAGTGGGCACGCAGATGCATCTTGGGCTGACGACCAGGCTACACAGCGGTCGTCACAGGGTTACACCTTCAGCCTTGGTTCCGGCTCTGTTTCGTGGAGGGCTACTCGCTTGTCTTCCGTTCTCGGCTCCAGTTGTGAGGCTGAGATCTACGCAGGAGCCATGGCTGCTCAGGAGCTTCGTTGGCTCACCTACCTACTAACTGACCTCGGAGAGCCGCCTCGTTCTCCTCCAGTGCTGTACGTAGACAACAAGGCCATGCTGGCCTTGTGTCGGGAGCAGCGCCTGGAGCACAGAACGAAGCACATTGCTCTCCGCTACTTTGTTGCTCGTGAGCTGCAGCAGCGTGGTCAGTTGCGATTTGCGTACGTGGCCTCTGAGGCCAACACTGCTGATATCTTCACTAAGGCACTTGCGCCTTGTGATCATCAGCGCTTCTGTACTCAGCTTGGTCTTGTGCCTGTCTTGCCTCACTTGCTCACTTCTTGACCTTGCTTGTACTGTCACATATATATATTCCTGCTCTTGCTTGTTTAGCCTTTTATATATATATGTGCTCCTGCATGTGAACTGGCCTTCTGGCCTTGAACTTGTGCTCGGAATGTGTGGTGACTTTGTGATCCACCCTAAGCTTTGCTTTGATCTGCTTGACTGGTCTTGTGACCCCTTGTTCTCCCCCACTTTGCCTATGGGGGTGTGTCAAATGATAATGTTATGTAAGCTGTAGTGGGGTAGCCCATATGGGGTACACATTTCTAGGGTTGCATATTTTGTACCACACTCCATTCCTTAGTGCATCATTTCTCGTTTCAGTTTTCTCAAATACGGTATGAGTGTTCGGTTGGCATTAATTGGGTGTAGATTGATGGCATCAATCGAGATTCCGGGTTTCGCAGAAGGTGTTCGAAAGTTGCCTTGATGGATCGCGTCCTCATGTGATTGGCTGGCATATTTGACCAGTCACTTTTGATGGCCCCGAATCACTGATACCCGGCATGGTGCGGGGCCTCGAAGCCGCATGGTGCGGCAGATCAGAAAATGGGCACTTTGCCAGAGAAACTGGGTTCGTGGAAGGTTCGGGCAGTTGAAAACGCCTGCAAAAAATAAAGTGTTCGGGAGGCATTCCATTATTGTTTGGCTCGTCGATGATCCGCTTATATCGAGCCAAGATAACCCTTCGCGCGCTTATCAAAGAAGGTTCCAGGGTGATCGGTTTACTGTAGCCCATCCGCCGAGGCCCTTTTTTTAATGCCTACCGAACAGGGCCTTACAGCAGGGATTCGGAATGTGCAAGACTGTACACCGTGCTGCTTTGCTGCTACACTCCCGGAAAGGCCATTAAAAACTCTTGCACCCTGCCGCATGGCTCCATTGGTTAAAATGAGAGCCAAGTTGTTCCAGCTCAGATGCCCATGCCTACGCAATGATGTCGCCCGAATCACTGAAGGGCGGAAGGCAGGGAAAGGGGAAGGTGGGAAAACAGAGAAACACTTGAAGGAGCATTGGAGTGAAGGTCTCAAGAGACTCAAGCTCAGACGCCCACGCCCATGCAATAACGTCGACCTAATCACTGAAAGAAGGAAGGCAGGGGAAGGGGAAGAAACAAAGGAGGCTTAAAGGAGCGTTGGAGGGACAATGACGCAAGAGGGAAGAGTGGCTCCATTGCTCGATGAGGGAGGAGAGAAGAGAATGTGGCAAATCGCTCGAAACCTGTGTGAGTGAAGGCTAGAACTTGCATGTGACCAGCCTTTATTTGCATCTGTGTGATAGGTTGTTGGCAGCTCCAGCAGACAGTAGAACGTATGATAAGATGCAAACGATGAGAATGAGACCTTATTTTTCATACAAGAGTGCTGCTTGGTCCTACTTCCTCCTCTCCCACTTCACTCGTCCCACACCTGCCAGCGACGATAGACTGGCAGCACTGAGAACAAAGGACTGAGGGATTACAAGCCTGACACTTATAGACATGAGAACTGATTTTTCTTTACCCTTCCCTCAACTGCCAGCGTCCTCTCCTCAACTGCCCGCAACGATGGACTGGTCCTCGAGAGGCTGGCAGCACGTGAGGCTGCCACCCGTCACTTCTGTCACTCTGAGCCCCCCCGTGGAGTCGGCAGCAGTGATGGGCAGCCCCCCTTATGAGAGCACCAGCCCTGTCACTGCTAGTGGCGACGTGGGGGCGGTGGTGGTAAGAGCCGGGAGGCGGCACTTAGAGAGGACAGAGGAAGAAGGGGCGCACGCATGTCCCACAGCAGCACAGCGCCTGGAAAGGGGAGGGGGGCGTGCGGGAGGAGAAGTGAGAGAGGGTTTTACTATGGTGGTGTTGGTGAGAGGGGAGAGGTGGCTCCTCCAGGGGACACAGGCCGCGGAGGGCGCTCGCTTGTCCCACAGCAGCACAGCGCCTGGGGGAGGGGAGGGATGTGTGGGGGAGGAAAGGTGGGAGAGTGATTGATGAGATGGGGGAGATGTAGGCAGAAGAGGGCGCTCGCCTGTCCCACCGCAGCACAGCGCCTGGAAGGGAGGGGAGGGATGTGTGGGAGCAGTGAGAGAGTGAATAATATTGGGGGTTGTGGTGAGAGGGGAGATGCGGCACCTCCACGGGACAGAGGCAATGGGAGGCGCTCGCATGTCCCACAGTAGAACTGAGCCTGGAGGGGGGGGGCCAGATGAGAGGGAACAGCAATGGTGAGAGAGGGACTAAGGATGACCCTTGAGGCGCCTCGAAAGGACATAGTTCCCACGGATAGAGGCAGTGGGACGTAGAGAGAGAGGTAGCAGGTGGTTTATGAAGTGTTTCGTGTTCCATCTGTTTCAGAATGTGCCGGGAGAACACGAGAGTAAGCGACATATGTATATTAATGAAGGTGTTTCACGAGAGTCGAAGAGGCATACGATAGGGCAACACAGCCGTACCCCGTGCTGAGCTGTCGTTCTCTCACCATTGGCTGACCCCAAGGCAGCAAGGGGCCACGCTGACGTGGCAGGGATGGCTACTTGGAGCGATGTGCTTCGCGCTCGGTGCTGATTAGACTCCGCTGGAGGAGGAGGGTGGACTGGTGAGGAGAGATGATGGGAAGGTGGACGGAACGGAAGGAGAGGGGAAGGAGTATGGAACGAAGGGGGAAGGAGGACAAAAAAAATGGAGGTGCAATGAGGGAGGGAGGGGGGTGGAGGGGGGGAAGACAAAGAAGCGGGTTGGAGGTTTAGGGTGTGATTTGGTCGTCTGATGGAGCTCCATTACAAGGAGATGGACAGGTTGGGAGATTCAGTGAAAATTTTGAAATACAAATAGGGGGAAGAGGGAGAGGGGGAGCAGAGTAAAGAAGAGAAGTAGCGAGCGTACCATGCTAAGATGAGATCTGCTCGTAGAGAGGAAGGTTAAGGGAGTGCGCTGTGCATAGATTGCACAGTATCACTCACTCACACACCTGTTCTGTCTGAGGCACCATAAGAATGCGGGGTGGGGAGGGGAGGAGAAGGAGAAGGCGCATAAGTGTGGAGTGGATGGGCTGACCTGACCTGATGTGTCGGAGCCAGAATAGGAGTGGGTCAACGAGGAGGAAGAGGCAAGGCTCATAGCATAGCCTCACCTACTGTGCGAGACCCTGTGGGAATGAGGAGAAGAGGAGAGGAAAGGAGGCGGAGGGGCTTTGGTGTGTGTGGGCTGACCTGGTGTGTGTGGGCTGACCTGGTGTGTGTGGACTGACCTGGCGTGTGTGGACTGACCTGGCGTGTGTGGACTGACCTGGCGTGTGTGGACTGACCTGGTGTGTGTGGACTGACCTGGCGTGTGTGGACTGACCTGGCGTGTGTGGACTGACCTGGTGTGTGTGGACTGACCTGGCGTGTGTGGACTGACCTGGCGTGTGTGGACTGACCTGCGGGCCTCGCAACTTGGGACGCGAGCAATCCTATTGTAAAACCTTAAAAAAAGGAACAAAAGAAAATATACATATTATCTCTAGGGGCCTCTAGAGGGAATGGGGCATGCTAATTATAATAGCTTGTGCATGCCAATGCTTCTATTGGGGCATTTGCAAGAAGACTGCGGCATGCACTGCTGGCCAAGGAAAATCGCTCAAGAGATGCAACAGCTATCCTCGTTTGTGCGACGAGCAGACACCCTTATTGTCACATTATCTTCATCCCTGTACTTAACAACGCACTCCAGATTTTGTCGCGGAGTCCACGCCATCACCGCAGGCCTCACCCCGGCCCTCCCGCCACCGCACGTCCCGCTTCCCGCTATAACCCAAAATCGCACTTCGTCCCTTACCCTCGCTGCTAAGAAGCGATCCGCGACCCGCTCCAACGCTTCATGGACGAGTAACCCGCGCACGTCGATTGTGGCAGACCGAGGGTGTCTGCCGGACCCATTTGTCCGGCTTGCTGGTCCGACGGACCCATTGGCGGACTAGCAGTGAACCAGATATGCTTGTTCTTTTTTTTGGACATTTGCAAGAACACTGCTGCATGCACTTTTGGCCAAGAAAATCGCTCAAAGCATGCAGCAATCCTCGTTTGTGTGACGAATTATTCTCACACAACCACCTTCATTCTCGGAATGAAGGTCAACAACGCACTCCAGCTTTTTTCGCGCAGCCCACGCCATCACCGCAGGCCTCAGCCTGCGCCCCGTTATAACCCAAAAATCCTCTTCGTTCCTTGCCCTTGCTGCGTAGAGGCGATCCGCGACCCGCTCCAACGCTTCATGGACGAGTAATCCGCGCACGTCGATTGTGGCAGACCGAAGGTGTCTGCCGTTGTTGCGTTTAGCATAAATCAGCCTGCTCGCCTCCCGATCACATCGTTCCGAGAGTTCCTTGTAATACTTCCTTTCGTCAAGCAGCTCCTTCGCAAGAGCGCGTTGCCCTCGCTTATAAGCGATCCGCGATTCCTCTTTTAACTCTCGAGCAGTTTCGGCATTGGCCCTTGCTTCTTCCCTCAGGCGCTGGTATAGCGGCGATTCTCTGGACGCTGAGTTCCCCATTTGCACGAAGATGAACAATTAAATCAACTTTGTGCGAGTATCGAATGAAGGAATCGAAAAACGTCTGCTGAGAATTCTCTGCGGGCCCTGAATATCTCTCGCCAGAGAGCAGGCTTTTTATAGCTACCACTAAGAATCTGACGGAGCATCTATGTTTGTCCTGCATGCACAAGCATAAGAACATATGTGACATGGTCCGGTACAAATGTTTTAAAGCCTTGGTCCGACATGCTGGTCGGACGAAACCATTTTGCGGACCAGCAGTGAACCAGCCATGGGCAAGAATCTGTCGCGTTTCGGTTTGTCCATGTCCTTGCGCACTCGAAAAAATCGAGTTACAGTACCCGTGCCAAGTGCAATATCACGAAAAGGTTTCGCTAGCCACTACTGTTTACGGACGAATCGCGGTCTGGCGTGCAGACCAAGTCAGTCACGCCGTTTTTTTAGATCGAACGCTACAATAGGGTTGTAATACCCTTACTGGTCCCGTACACCACTGGTTCACGCAACGGTTTGCGAGCTGGTCCGTCGGGTCCGTTTCGGTCCGTGAACTCGCTCATTTGAGACACGTCCATGTGGGTCCGACACAGACCTGGCGGACCAGCTCAAAAACCACCACGGAGCCAGCGGCAAACGGGAGCGAGGTGCGGGATTTAGTAATACGGTGTAATACGGTTGAATTAGTCAAGGTCAAAACGTCCATATTTGTTGTGATGTTCTAGAAATTGGCCTCAGATTGATACACCCTTACCAAAATGCTCCCCACCTAAAGAATGCCCAAACTAGGCTCAGGAAGGAGTCAGAACTAACCTTTTGAATCCTTATAGGAATCTGTAGAATGGTAGAGACAATATGTACAGAAATACCGTATGCCTCTGCTTTCATGGCATATCATAATACGGTACCACGCCTGCGGAACCCTCTTCACAACCCACGACCATCACCCTCGAGTTCTTCACACCACTAGCAGAAACAAGGGAGGACACACCAGACGAGCTAATCGGCACAGAAAAGAAACTCAAGCCCTGTGCTTTCTTTGACGAAGACTGTACACCATGCTGCTGCCCTGCTGCGCTCCCGGAGAGGCCTCCATAGTTCCTTGCACCCTGGCGCATGGCACCATTAAGATGAGGGTGAAGTAGCTCAAGCTCAGATGCCCACGCCCATGCAACAATGTCGCCCGAATCACTGAAGGGAGGAAGGCAGGGGAAGGGGAAGGTGTGGAAACAGAAGAGTGCTCAAAGGAGCGTTGCAGAGACAACGAGGCAAGAAGGCCCTTTCCGAGGTGCCTCGAAAAAACGAGGAGTGCTCAAAGAGCGTTGGAGGGAAAATGAGGAAAGAGGGCCGGACGTCTACAGTAAGTGCTGCTTACTCCTACTTCCTCCTCTCCTCACCTGCCAGCGAGGACAGACTGATCGCCGAGAGGCTGGCAGCACGTGAGGCCGCCACCTGGACAGTGCTGAGATGCCAGCTCAGCACCGCCCATGCGCATCTGAGAGCCAGATGGCAGAGGCGGAGGGGGGAGGATGGGATGAGTAGAGGATAAGCTTACTGCGTTTGTAAGCATGATGGGGTGGGTGGGGTGCAGCAGTGGCACAGTGCATTTTCCCCGTAAGAAACGACCGGCCCTTAAAGCCCTTCCAGTACTGTGAGACTCCCTGTGGAGTCAACATCCGTGAGGAGAAGCGCTATTACTTAAAGAACATTAGCCCTGTCACTCTGAGGGGCTTTAAGAACATTTAGCCCTATCACTCTGAGACTTAAAGCCCTTAAAGCCTCACCTCCAGCACTCTGAGCCCCCCCGTGGAGTCGGCAGCAGTGACGTGCAGTCCCCCATACGAGAACACCAGCCCTGTCACTGCTAGTGGCGACGTGGGGGCGGTGGTGGTGGTGAGAGGGGAGAGGCGGCAGCTCCAAGGGACAGATGCCGAGGGGGGCGCACGCATGTCCCACAGCAGCACAGCACCTGGAGAGGAGAGAGGTGGAGGGGGGCGGGAGATTGTGTGGATGAGGGACTGATGGGGGGTCAAAAATAGGTTCAGGGAACAAGGAGACGGGAGGGGGGGGTTGTCAGGGGGTACGAGGGAGAGTGAGTGGATGGAGTTGAGATACCGGAGTTAACTTGTAAGCTATTACAAATCGACTCATTAAGTACTTGGAAATGAAGGGTTGTTGGACAGAGAGAGTGGGACGGAAATACAGGAGGGGGATTCCACAGGAGGGAAAGCGTGGTGGTGAAGACGAAAGCAAGTTGTTGAATCTCACACACTTGAATGAAATCGAATCACCATGGCACGCAGATGAGGACATAGACACTGCTGAAGTAAGCGTTTTAAGGAGGAGTTTGAGAGCACAAGTTCACATTTGCCCATAAATCCAAGTTAGGGTCAGATAACATTTGCCCATGAGCACAGATTAGGGTCAGATAACATTTGCCCATGAGCACAGATTAGGGTCAGATAACATTTGCCCATGAGCACAGGTTAGGGTCAGATAACATTTGCCCATGAGTGACTGAATACCCTTCGGGGCTGTTTTTGAGGCGCCTCAAAAACGACCTCAGTGACTGAATACCCTTTGAGGCTGCAAAAGTGATGGCGAACGCATTCCATGTTTCAATGCAAGCGCTTACAACCCCGAATGCGTTTGCCATCACTTAGATTTGTTTTGTCGCTGAGCTGTCAGTCTCTTACCATTGGCTGACCCTGAGGCAGCAAGGGGCCATGCTGACGTGGCAGGGATGGCCACTTGGAGCGATGTGATAGGTGCGTCATGCTGATTGAGCTCCGCTAGAGGAGGAGGGTGGACTGGTGGGGAGTAGATGATGGGAAGGAGGATGAAGGTGTACGGAAGGTGCAATGAGGGAGACAGAGAAGGGAATACAAAGGAATGGGTAGCGATTTAGGCGTGAATTGGTCATCTGATGGAGCTCCAACACGGAGAGGTGGAATCGTGGGGAGAGGTAGTGAATTTTGAGTCGACTCAAAAGTCGAGTCGACTCAAGAGTAACCTCATCTGATGAAGCTCCATCACAGACGGGTGGAATCGTGCGGAGACGTAGCGGTATGGACCGACCTGAAGTGTCGGAGCCAGAATAGGAGTGGGGGGAGGAGGAGGAGAAGGAGGAGAAGGGCGCGGCGGAGAGGAAGGGCGAGTGGGCCATGCCATGCTCCACTGCTTCACTGCAAAGCCTCACTTGATGTGCCTGAGCTAGCATAGGAGTGGGGGAGGAGGAGGAGGAGGAGGAGGAGGAGGAGGAGGAGGAGGAGGAGGAGGAGGAGGAGGAGGAGGAGGAGGAGGAGGAGGAGGAGGAGGAGGAGGAGGAGGAGGAGGAGGAGGAGGAGGAGGAGGAGGAGGCAAGGTGGAGCGAATTGGCGCACATATATTGCATAGCCTCACCTAATGTGTCTGAGCCGCCATGGGAGTGGGGCGAGGAGGAGGAGAAGGAGGCGAAGGGCGAGGCGGAGAGGAAGGGCGAGTGGGCCATGCTCCACTGCTTCACACTGCCGTCCCATGATGCTGTGAACAGACACGTGTCAGCGCCCCACTGGCTGACCTGAATGCATGACACCGTGTCGTCGTGTGCATGCATCTGGTGATGGCACACAGGCGGGCAGGCAGGGAGCAGTGGGGCAGGAGGAAAGGAGGGAACGTAGGGACAGGAAAGGAGGTGGTGGACGTGAGGAAGCGACAAGGGGTTATGTTTGTTTCGCTGACGGGCACATATGACACAATGAGTGAGGAAAGCGGTGTGCATTTGGTGTTTGTCATCATGGTGTGCATTTGGTGTTTGTCATCATGGTGTGCATTTGGTGGCACACATGCAGAGGCAGGAGGCGGGAGGCAAGGGGGTGGGGAGAGCAGGCGGGAAGGAGGAATGGAAGGGATAGGAGGGACGGGGTGGGAGGCAAAGGTCCGGGAGACAGGGAAAGGGGAGCTTTCAAAGAGTGGAAGTGAGACAAAAGCTTTTTCTATTTTTATTACTATTATTATTATTATTACTATTATTGTTATTATTATTGTTATTGTTATTGTTATTGTTATTGTTAAGGGCATGGCACACAGCGGCATGGCGTACCTTGGAGAGGCATCGACCGAAGTCAGGCGAGTAGAGCCACACATAATCATCTGATGAGCCCAGCAGCACTGACTGGTGGTTGTGAGAGAGGCCGGGTGTGGAGAAGTGGAGCAGTGGTGAATCACACAGGCAGAAGAAAAGTGGTTCGATCAGGGCGGCAGGCATCCGAACGAGAGGGGGAAGAACAGGGGAAGGCATGGATTGAGAAGACAGGAGAGGGAGGGCTGGATGATGATAGCAGGAGGCACTGGCAGTGACGAGAGGAGCTGAGGAGGAGAGATATGCTCTTGGTGAAGCAGCATGGGGAGAGGAGAGGCGTGGGATGACGTGGGACATGACATGACATGACATGACATGAGGCGTGGGATGACGTGGGACATGACATGACATGACATGACATGAGGCGTGGGATGACGTGGGACATGACATGACATGACATGACATGACATGAGGCGTGGCTGGGATTCTGAGAAGGAGAGGCACGGGGTGACATTGGGGAGGCCAGACGGGAAGAGCATACCCAGAAGCAAGTTGAAAAAGAATACGCAGGGAGAGATCGCTTTTGAGAATTCTCAAAAGAGCATTCTCGAAAGCGATTTCCACGGGAAGAGCATACCCAGAAGCTCTTTCAAGAAGGAATACGCAGGGAGAGAGGAGAGCGGAGCATAATGGGGAAGGTTGGTAACTCCTGAATTCTCAGACGGCTGGGAATGGGGACATGCGAGTAAGAGGAATAACAGCCTACCTACGCATTGCAAAGGGCAAAAGGAGGGAAGCACAGTAAGGGAGAGGAGTCTCAACTGGGTAGCAGTGGGACGGAAGGGGCGGCAGCAGCGCCATGCTGGCCAATGGGAGGCTGCCAACTCGCGCTGACCTCAGCTGCTGCTGCGACTCCACTGAGAAGACCTGATTGGTGGAGGGCGGATTGAGGGAGAAAGGATCAGAGGAAGACGTTAGGAGGGGAGAATGGGGGAGAGGAGAGGATGGGAAAGAAGTTATTTAGAAGGCTGATGCAGCAAGAGGCCTTCACCACCGTGGAATCACTGATAGAAATGGAATGACCCAAACCATCAACGCTTTCCGAACCACATACACGCCATAAGACCCCAAGCTCACCTTTCCTTTCACCAAGCCATAATCGCTTCTCACCTTCACCATACCATCTGCACCTGCCGTGGTGATAGTAAGCTGTCGTGAATCTTCCTCTGTCCACCCTCATTCCCTTTCTCCCCTGTGTATCCTGCTGACTTCTCCTTCTCTCCTTCCTTCCCTGCCACCCGTACTGCTGATCAGGTTCATCCCTTCTTCCTCCTGGCGTATGTAATCACTCTGTCTTGCACTCCTCCTGGTACCTCAGGCTTCCCTGCCCCCTCCCGTGTCTCAGCGCCCATCTTTGCCGCTTGAGTCACGGGACCCACTGCCTGAGGCCTCCCTTGTCCCGCCCTGGCCACGTTGGTGATGTGTTCCTTGATGATTCCCCCTCGAATATCTTCCAGCACTAACACTCCCGAGCCTCGTATCTCTTTCACCTTCCATCGCTCCGATCCCACCGCTAAGTCCAGCGTGTCGCGCTTAGCTTTGCGAAGGTATACCTCCTGCCCTGCCTCCACCTTATCACCCTTTCCCCCTATCCCTGATGCTTTACGCTGCTGGTATCGTCTTGCGTCACGCAGCTGCGCCACATGGAGGTTATCCAGAGCTGCCGGAGTCAGCTCCTTCAAATACTTTGCTCTCCTCTGGGCTAACTCCGCCCACATGTTTGGCTCATCTGCCTCTATAACCGCAGAAAGCAGCTTCGGAGCATTGACCGGCAGCACAGGATCCCGCCCGAACAGTAAGTGGTATGGGGATAGGCTTCTCAGAGCCGCCTGCTTTGCGAACCGGTACCCCGCCAGCACCCACCAGAGATCTCGGTCCCAACTCCTTTTGTGGGACTCACTGTAGGCCCGTAGTCCTCTCTTCAAGGTCTGTATGAGCCTCTCGGTCAGTCCGTCTGATTGAGGATGGTACCTAGAGGTGACCCTGTGCGTGATACCCATCTCTTCCAGCAGCTCGTCGAAGCTCCCTTGAAATTCCGTCCCTTGATCAGTGAGTACCTCCCCGCATGCCCCATACCTGGTGAGCACCAGCTCCTCAAAAGGGTCAGCTATCAGTGCGCTGTTCTTGCTTGGTAACGCTCGCGCCTCCACCCATTTACTTGTGTGCTCAACCATCACCAGAATGTACTGCATCCCTCCTTTCGATAGTGGCAGCTCTCCCGCGAGGTCCAACGACCACCTGTAGCCCAACCCGCGAATTGGTAAAGAATGCAGCTCATCACTCTCTTTCTCTAGCCTTGCTTTATTCCTCTGACATGCCTCGCAGCTCGCCACTAATCCTGCCACATCCTTTCCCATGCTCACCCACCAGTACATGGTGCTCAGCAGCTGCCGTGTTCTGGTTATGCCGAAGTGCCCCAGCTTCGCGTGCACATTCCCCATAATCTTGGCTCTCTCCTGTGGTTGTGGCACCACCTTCCACCCTTCGTTGGTTCTCAGCTGCAGCTGTTCCTGAAACCACCTGAAATGCTGCCCTCGGGCCCTGGCTCTCTCGCTCACTCCTTCCTCTTCTAGTGGCTCCCCTTTGATCCAGCTCAGGGTCTCCTCATCCTCCCATATATCCCCTAACCGCTTCTTTCCTTTCTCCTGCCCCCAGGGTATCGCTGCTACTTGAGCCAGGGCTGCCAGCTGCGCTACCGGCTGCATTGGTGGCGGATCCCTTGATAACCCATCTGCGTGCTGCAGCGTTTTCCCAGGCCGGTGTCGGATCTCAAAGTCGAATCCCAGCAGCTTAATGGCCCAGCGAGCGTTTCTTCCCGTCAGCTCCTGATGAGTCATCAACCATAGCAACGGCTGGTGATCAGTCACAAGTGTGAAGCGCCGACCCTGCAGGTACACCTTGAAGTGAGTGATCCCCCATACAGCTGTCAGGCCCTCCCCCTCGTAAGAGCAGTAGTTAGCCTCGGATGGGCTGCAGCTGCGGCTGGCGAAGGCTACCACTCTCTCCTCTCCTTCTATCTCTTGGCAGAGCACTGCCCCCATTCCTGTGCTGCTCCAGTCGGTGTATAAGATGAAAGGGGCATCTGCCCTCGGTATCTGCAGCAGCGTTCCCGTTCGTACTGCTTCTAACAGGTCCAGCCTTGCCGTTTCCTCCAGCTCTCCCCACTGCCAGCTCCTCCCTTCCTTCAACAGCTGATTCACTATGTAGGCTCGGCGGCTGAAGTTCGGTACGAACTTCCTGTAATAATTCAGGAAGCCGAGTAACGCCCGCAGCCCGGTCTTATCCTTTGGTGCTGCCAGGTTCTCCAGCACCTTAACTTTTGCTTCCTGTATCGCCAGCCGGCCCCCTTTCACTTCAAAGCCCAGGTAAGCCACGGTCTGCCTTGCTATCTTGCACTTGTCTGGATGGCACGTCAGACCCGCAGCTGCTATAGCCTCTAGCGTCTGCTTCAGATCTTGCACGTGCTGCTCTTCACTGCTGCTGAAAATCAGTATATCATCTATGTAGCAGGCTGCTGCTGGAATCCCCTTCAGCACCTGATCCATGGCCCGCTGGAACACTGCAGGGGCGTTGCGTATCCCGAAGGGCATCACATTGTACTCGTACAGCCCATCCACCCCGTGAAACGCCGTTTTCTGTTTGTCTTCCTCCCTGATGGCTATCTGGTTGAACCCCTGTCGCAGGTCCAAGGTGGTGAAGATGATGGCGCCTTCTAAGCGATCAAAGATGTCTTCTGCTGTTGGCATGGGGTACCTCTCCGGGCTGGTAATCTTGTTCAGCTCCCGAAAATCTCCACACATCCTTTTCGCCAGCACTTTACCCGTGATATCCTTCCTGGCAGCTACCACTGTGGCTGCTGCGTAGCTTGACTCGGACGGGCGGATAATCCCTGCTCCTAGCAGCTCCTCACACTTCTCCTTGCAGATAGCCGCAACCTCTCCATTCATTCTCCTTCTTCGTTGGTAAGTGGGTATCTCTGTGGTAAGGTTTAGCTCCAGCTCTCTTCCCTTGTACCTCCCCAATTCCTGCAGGTTATAGGCGAAAGTGCTCCTGTGCTGGTGCAGCACCTCTCTGATTGCTTCTGCCGTTTGCTCCTTGATGTCCGCACCTAGCTTCCATTCCTTACCCTGCTCAGCTTCTTTGCCCCCTGCTAGTGCCACAACATTCTCCTTTCCTCCCGTGCCCTGCTCAACAGCTGCATACGCCGCCTGCTTCTCTCCTTGTCCTTGCCTTTTTCCGGTCTCTCCTCCTTTAACAAGTGCCCCCTTCCTCATCTCTTTGATTAACCATCTCAGCGAGTGCTGGTCTATGGCTCTTCCTAAAGCTGCTCTGCGCATCCCTTCCTCTACCCCTTCTGCTGCGGTTGCTCCTGGCAGGTATCCCATGGCTAACTCCCGCTCCAAGGCCGTCGGTTCCTCCCACTTCTTCTTCCGGTGATCGTACACCATCCCTGGTCCTGGTATTCCGTCCACCTCGATGAAACCTTGTGCCCTGGTGTATGCCACTAATGTAGACCATGCCCTGCGAGCTTCCCCCACCCGGTTGCACTGGTACTGCCGCGGATGATCTGGTTTTACCACTGGGGCCGCCACCCTCCCTGGTTCTAAAATATCCTCTACTATCCTGCTTTCGTCCCTCTCCACTCTTGCTAGTCTTGCCCTCAGTTCCCCGTCTGGTAAGACGTTTTGCCAGTACTGCCGCACCCTATGACAGCGTGCCCCCAATTGTGCCCCATCACAGCTCACTCCTCTCCCCAGTTCTGCCTCCACCAGCTCCCTTACTGCCCTGACCGGCTCGCGTACGTCGTTCCTCATATCCACATGCTCCAGGATGTAAGCATATTCTCCATTCACTTCACTCGTCCACTTCATTATGGTGAGTAGCTTGGTCACCATCCCCGTGCGCTTGTCCTGTAAGCCTTTCCCCTTTCCGGCCCTAGAAGTACCCTGACACTCCCATCCCGCCACTAACAAATCCACTTTACCCCACCTGCTCACGTCTTCTTTCGTGAGCTGCCCCACGTCCCATTTCTTATTCTGCATGGCCTCCCGTAGTACTTCTTTCGTCAGCTGCGCGGGGTACTGCTGCTGTAACATTTGAGCATGCTTCCAGGCCATTCTCCTCACCTCTGGGTCCAATTCTACGTATACCCACTTCTTCACCCTCAGGCCTGCTTCCAAGGCTGCTGCCAAGCCCGCTCCTATTCCCCCGAACAGCTCCACTAGTGTAATGCTATACAGATCCAGGTGAGCGCTGTCGTTGCTCTTCCCCACACTTCCTCCCCTCCTACTGTTCTTCCTCAGTCCTTCTGCTCTCCACGCCTTCTTGGGTTCTGTCTTAACAAACCGTACTGGTAGTTCACTCAGCTCCTTCCCTTCCTCCCAAAAGTCCGAACGGTAGAGCACCTGCTCCTGCCAGGTACAGATAGTGGTGCCTATCTTGAACAGCAGCTCCATTCCTAGTAGGATATCATAGTCTTCTGATTCTGTCAACCCACACTGCACTCTGATAGTGGTCTCCCCCTTCTCTCCCGGCTGTAAGGTTATCTCTATCAGGTCCCGTGTGCATGGCATCCACTTGGGGGCCCCTCGTTCTGCTGTCATGATCAGTATGCCCTTGCTTACAGTCTCTAGGTTCCCTTGCGCTCGCAGTTGTGCTGTCAGCTTCTTCCCGATTAGGACGCTCTGTGCTCCTGTATCCACTACCGCGTTTTCTACCAAGATTCCTCTGACCGCCACGGCTTTCGGTTCCACCACTAAGGCTGTGGGCTGACAGACTAGCCTTTCCTCGGGGTGACGCCGTGCGGTGCTGACTTTCCCTTGATTCTCCTGCCGCCTGGAAATTCTTCGCTCTTGTAATTTCTGCTCCGCTCTGCCATCTGCCCCTCCGCTGCGCAGCCCCAGGTCTCCCCTCTCCCTTGGCGGCATAGCCATGGTCCCGTATTCTGGTTCCCCTTCCTCAGAATCTTCCCCTTCGTCATCCCCCCAAGCCAGCAGAGCTTTCTCGGGGTCTTCACTGATCCCTGATTTCTCCATCTGAGCTTTCAGTTTCGCCAACTCTCGTTCTAACTGCAGCTCCCTTGCAGTTTTCCCTTTCGCCCTGTCTCCCTTGCTGTAGCATCTAGCTTCGGTATGGCCTTTCTTCCCACACCCCGTGCAGGTCGGCGCTTTGGGGCAGTCACGCTTGAAATGTCCCTTTGCTCCACAGGTGTCGCAGATTATTCCCACCGTACAATCCCTCCGAAGATGTCCTTGCTCTCCAGATTTATGGCAGCGTCTCGGGTCTTCCGATGGCCTCTCTTTCCGCTCTTCCTCTCCCCTTCTTCCTTCCATAGCTGCCCAGGCCGGCCGTTTCCGCTCGTTCGGTCGGCTGGAACTCGACCCCTGCATGCCATCATAAAATCTCTTCCCTTCCTCCACTTCTTTCGCCACCTTGTAGACTTGCCGCAGCGTGGCGCGTACTCCCAGGACGTACAGCTAACTCCTCATGTCGCCTATCAGGTCCTTGTCCAGACCGTTGACAAATTTCGTCACCAAGAGGCGCTCCTCCATACACCCCATGTCCTCTGCCAGCTCCAGCAGCCTGTTGTAATAGGCTAGCAGCGACTCCGAAGTGGCACGCACGAAGTTCTGAAATTCCGCCATCCGTTCCGCCGAGTGCCCCGAGAATTGCTCCTGCAAACTCTCCAGAAATCGGTCCGTTATCATTGCTGGTGAGAAATCGCCTCTCTTGCACTGCATCAACAGCCCCTGCCTTTCCACGCGGTAGTGAGTCAGGGCCTCGCCTTTCAGAGTCCATCCCAAACCTCTAAAGAACTCGATAGGGTCTAAGCCCTCCCTCTCCCAAAGGTAACGCAGGTCGTCTATCATCAACAAGTAGTTCTTGAGCGTGGGCTCCTCCCCTGATGTCCCTGAGAAACGGTCCGGCACTTCAATTTTCGGTAGAGCTGCGTTAATCGTGCGGCCCGTCCCCCAGCTCGTGTTCCCTCTATCCCCGCTGTCCACCGGCCGACAACCTTGCCTAGCTTCAGTAGCCTCGTATCCACCTGCCGCAAAGCTGTGGTACGCTTCTCCTCCTCTCTGACGGTGTCCTTCTTCGTGATGTTCATCTTCCCCGCACTGACTGTGCCGTTCTTCGCGAAACTCTTCTCTTCCTTGAGCAGGATTATCCCCTCGAGATCCACTCTTCACATGGCCGATTCCACTCCCGCCAGCGACTGATCCACCAGTAGCGCTAGGCGGCGGCTCCCCTTGTCGGTCGCCCTCCCTCTCTCGATCTGATCCCTGACCCCCGCCCGCGTTAGCATCGCCCTCTTCAGCACGGAATCCAGGTGTCCTGATGGGTAGTCCTTGTCCCTCCATCATCCTTGCAGGGAAACGGAGTCCCGAGCGCAGCTGATGAGTGTGCAGTTCCTGATCGTGCCTACTCATTCCTCACGGCGCATCACCGTGAGCTACTCGAGGCTACTAGCTTATCTCCTGTACTTAAGACAGTCAACAACCTTTTTGCTTGTATGTAGCAAGCGTAACACTCCCCCTCAGGGGCTCCGTCAAATTGCTTATAGCTTCTCCTACTGCTAGTTCCCTCTGGATTAGGAAAACAAATTGCAGTAAATGAGAAACATACAAGCAAAAAGCAAGAAGCCCGAGTGCTACTCCTGCCTACATCTATTCCCACCCCCTGCCTAGGTTGCTTCCTCCACAAGCAAGCTCCTGTGCACCAAGCGAGCCAGCCGGGCTGCTCGCGAGGTCTCCAAGGTGCTAGCTGTGTTCCCACTGGGCCCACTAGGCATGCACTGCCTTCCAGCCTGGTGACTTCGAATTCAATTCCCAGGCTGGCATTGAATTCGCCTTCCAGCCTGGTGACTTCGAAATTGAATTCACAGGCTGGAATTGAATTCGTCTCCACCAACCTCCTTGAATTCGCCTCCCACCAACCACCTCAAATTCCCCAGCTACTCGGCTCTGCAGTACAGTACAATACACTCGAAGCACACAAATGAAATTAGAGTACAAAAGCGGTAAACTATAGTACACCCTCACCTTGGCTGCTGTGATATTCACACTTAGTTGCCAGCTAAGTGTTAGTAACGCGACAAAGCCGTTTGACTCTGCATGCTCTCTTTGCCATACCGCATCTGCTTTAGAGAAACCCCACAACCAACTACAGGCCATGAGCATCCTTTCACCTTCACCATGCCATCAGCCCCCCTCACCTTCACCATGCCATCATCCCCCTCAGTGGTGAGAAGCAAGTCGCATGACTCTGCATGCTCTGCCAGGGCCACTGCCACCACCGCCCACAATGTGCCTTCACCCAACACACCAAGAGCCTCCTTTCACCTTCACCATGCCATGAGGACCCCTCACCTTCACCATGCCATGAGGCCCCCTCACCTTCACCATGCCATGAGGCCCCCTCACCTTCACCATGCCATGAGGCCCCCTCACCTTCACCATGCCATGAGGCCCCCTCACCTTCACCATGCCATGAGGCCCCCTCACCTTCACCATGCCATCAGCGCCCGCTGTGGTGAGCAGCAAGTCGTGCGATTCTGCATGCTCTGCCAGCGCCACCGCAACCACCGGCCCCCGATGCGCCTTCACTCGCCGCACTCTCGCCCTCCTCCTCCCGCTGCCACTGCCATCGTTGTCGCTCCTGCTCCTCTCACTGCTTCTGCTCGTCTCACTGCTGCCCACACCACCTTCTGTTCTGCTTGCCTTGCTGTTCGCCCTGATGCTCACTGCACTGCTCACATCGCTGCTTCCCACTACAGGTGACGGCTGAAAGGCAGGGAAGGGCGCAGTGGGGGAGAAGGGAGGCGAGCAGGCATGCTCGTCCCCTCCTCGCCCCACCCCAGCCTCGTCCAGCCACTCTCTCAGCGCCGCCATCTCCTCTTCCTCTCTCACTGCTGCAGCTCTTGTCACACCAGCAGCACCAGCTGCATTGACTGCATTGACTGCATTGACCGCATTGACTGCATTGACCGCAGCACCTGCAGAGCCCATAGAGCCCCTGCCCTGCGCTGCTCGCCTGGCATTGAAGCTTCCCAGACCCACCGCCCCCTGCAGCGCCTTCAGCCTCCCCGTCTCGTCTTCTTCCACCATCCCGCTACTGTTCGCCATGCCACCTGTGCCCCCTGTCTCACTGCTTCCATCCGCAGCCGCGCCAGCTGTACTGTCTGACGTGGCGCTGACCTGGCGCAGTGCACTGGTACTAGAACCTGCAGCTTGTGCTGGTGGTGATGGTGGTGGTGGCTCTAGTGAGGTTGCTTTTTCCACTGCCGCTCCTCCTGTTGCTGCTGATGATGAAGCTGCTGCTGCTTCAGTTGCTGCTAAGCCCACACCGCCTGGACCTGCAGCCCCTGCTCCTGAGCCTGGCTCTGCAGGAGCACCTGCGCCTGCTGCCCTCTCTTCTTCTCCTGCCAGTGCTACTGTAGGCAAAATCGCACCCCGCTCCACATCGCTGCGGTCTTTATGTGCAGCACTCGCTGCTGCTGCTGCTGTTGCTGTTCCTGCTGCTGATGCTGCAGCACCATCTACAGCCCATCCGGTATCAGCGGCAGCAGCAGCAGCATCCTTGCAAGCATCACGGCTGGTAGCAGATGAACCAGCCACATCAGACCCATTGGAGGTCAGAGCAGCACCAATGCCACCACTACCACTGGTGGCTTGAGTGCCAACTAAAACACTAGAATCAACACTCGTGCTGCCACCAGCACTAGGAGCAGTAGCAGCAAGAGTATCGGTGGCATCACCAGTAGCAGGCACGACAGCAGCAGCAGCAGAGGCGGAGGGCAGGAGAGGCAGGAGGCGCATGAGGAGGTGGACGGCAGTGGAGGGGTCACAGAAGGGCAGTGACTCAACGCTGGGTGTGGCACGTGGGGAGCGCTGCGGGTGGGGATGGATGAAGAGCTGCCTTGGCGTTTGACCAAACTCGTTAATCTGAGAAGGGCATTTGGGGAAAAGCAGAATGGGAGGGAGGATGGAGGGGAAGGGGGAGGAGAAAGAGGGAACATGGCTGAGTAAGTTCAGCAGGGATTGCAGAAAAATTGGTGTATGATTTGAAGTGGCACCTGTATCAGCATAAATTAATCTATGTTAAACGAGACGAGTTTCCAGTCGATTCTTGACTTGTATCGACCTATTTATAAGGTGCCCCAAAACAGGATTGTTTCACTCAACATCAGAGCTGCTTTCCCACAGCACACCTGAGTCTCGAAGCCTCTCCTCTCCACAAAGCTGCTGAGCGAGTCCAAATCCACTGCGCCTTCATAGGTCAGGGGATGGAACAGGTTGTCTGCTTCCTCTGCTGCCTGGTGGGTGGGTTAGTGAGGGAGGGAGGGAGTGAATGAGAGAGTGAGGAGTGAGAGTGAAACAGTTAATCACCACTAGCTGCTAAGTGAGTTGACGTTCACTGCGCCCTCATAGGTGAGGAGATGAAACAGAAGACGCTCACCTTTCTAAGGGGATGCGAGTGAGAGGATAGCAGAGAAAGCCACAGCAGATAAAGCAAGGGCATGGTATATGATCTGATGTCCGGGCTACTTTTGAGGCGCCTCAAAACTAAAGCAAGGGCATAGTAGATGAACTGATGACCAAGCTACTTTTGTGGAACCTCAAAACTAAAGCAAGGGCACATAGTATATGATCTGATGACCAGGCTATGGGGGAGTCAATATGAGAGAGCAGGAGCAGCACCTTGCCTCGCTGCTTGTATCCGAAGATCAGGTCGATCCAATGGTGGAGATTCGCCGACACCCACTCGCTTTCCAGAGCCTGCACGTGCTTTACGATGAAATCCTCTGCACCGCTCGCCCTTGGAGAATAGAATGGGTGGAGTATGGTGGTGCGGTAGATAGAGGGGTAGAGAAAGGGGGAGAAGAATAGGGCGTCATTGAAGGATGCAGTTACATAGGATGGAGAGGGCGTGAGAAAACCATCGCAATACGAATGGCAATTGCCAGGTGAGGGAGTGTGCGAAAATAAAGATGCTTGAAGTTTGGAAAAGATGCACACAAAAAACAATGAAGGAAAGGCAGGCAAACACAGTGCGCCACCTCATAACCCACATATAGTGGTCGATTCTTAGTTCCACAACAGGCATCACCAAGGCACTAACTTAATTGTTAATACAGAATTGAATTACAGTGTTCCATACCTTACTATATCCCTTTTGAGACGGCTTTTGACACACGCACGTACCAAGGAGGCAACTCCACATCACCGATTGGGACGACAGGTCTTTAGGCGCCTTCTGAGGCGGATTTCGTAGGTGCCCGTGCCTTCGTAAAGGGCATTTATAAGCGCCTAGAATAACATAATTACGTACCACGGAGGCAGCTCCACGTCGCCAATTGGGACTCCGTTCTGGCGCGTGCCTAGATTGAGGTCCGGGCTGAAAGCGGTGGTGTGCATGAGAGAGGGTGGGTGAGGAGGGTGCAAAGAGGATACTCAATCAAGAAAACAGGCATTTTGCAGCCATGACATGTCAAGCCATGGCGTGTTATGTAATCATGTTATGTTGCAGCAATATTCAGCTACGCAATGCCATGTTATGCCACGTGTGCAAGTGTGAAGAGTAAGATGTGCATTGTGGTGGTGGAGAAAGGGAAGGGTGAGGATGCAAGAAAGGAGAATACACAAGAAGGGATAACACAAGCAAGAAGCACAGGCTCAGGTAGGTTCAGGTAGGCTCTGAAGCTCAGGCAGGCTCAGGTAGGCTCAGGCAGGCTCAGGTAGGCTCAGGTAGGCTCAGGTAGGCTCAGGTAGGCTCAGGTAGGCTCAGGTAGGCTCAGGTAGGCTCAGGTTGGCTCACTCAAGGAAGGCGGAGAAAGTGTGCTGGGAACGAGAAGAAGTGGGGAATGAGCTCCTTGGCATTCCCTTGGCAAGTGTGGGATGAGCTCCTTGACGTTCTTTCAGGCGCCGAAAGAAATACATTGAGAAGGCATTGCACAGGCAGGCAGGCAGGCAGGCCCAGGTTCACTCACGGGAGGCGGAGGAAGTGCGCAGGCAGAGAGAAGAAGTGGGGGATGAGCTCCTTGACGTCAGTGGCGTTAGACAGCACACTCTCCCACGACTCCTGCAGCCCCGTGAACAGCCTGTCTGGTGAGTCAAAGCGGCCGTTCTGATGGGGAAGGGGGGGTGAGGAGAGGGGGTGGTGAGAAGAGAGGGGCTTTTGAAAATTTCTCTCCCACGACTCCTGCAGCCCCGTGTGAACAGCCGGTCTGGTGAGTCAAAGCGACAGTTCTGATGGGGAGAGAGGGAAAAGGGGGAGTGGAGGAAGGTGGGGGTGTTGGGGTGGTGGAAAGGCAGGGAATTTAGAAATGGAGAGTTGAACAGAGAACATGAAGGTTTTAACCAACTGCAGCAAGTCCGGTTCGTGGCAAAGTTGATAGTTGAGAGTTCACCTTACGGAATAAGTAAGTGTAAGATAGTTGAGTTGGAAGATCGTAAACCAGTTCACTTTTGAGTCGACTAAAAAGTCAACTCGATAGTTGAGCTGGAAAGCTGTAAACGAGGAGTGCAATCAGGTGGTCTGTGACACATGAGCACTTTCTTTTCACAGCTTTAGTTGAGCGGCAGTCTGTGAGACATGAGCACTTTCTTTTTACAGCTATAATTGAGCGGTAGTCTGTGACACATGAGCACTTTCTTTTCACAGCTGTAGTTGAGCGGTAGTCTGTGAGACATGAGCACTTTCTTTTCACAGCTGTAGTTGAGCGGTAGTCTGTGAGACATGAGCACTTTCTTTACGCAGTTTGCCTGTAGTTTTTGTGAGCGACACACAAGGCGTTTGTGGGAGTGTGGAGGAGTTCACTCACACTGTGTAAGAGTGTGGAAGCGACAGTGTGGAGTTAAGTGCGCAGTGGAGAGAGATAAGGGCGACTCGCCTGTAGCCGCAGCATGTGTGCTGGTGCAGAGCGGACGAGCCAGTAGAGCACATAGCTGCATGCATGCATTGGGGGCACATGTGACACATGTGGGTTGGATTGGGGATACAAGGGTCATGGGACATGCAATGCAGCGGTAGACATGGCATGGCTGGCCGGTGGTTGCATGCAAAAGAAGGCGAAAGCAGAAAGAGCAGGGAGCAACAGAGCAGGGAGCGAAAGACCAGGGAGCAACAGAGCAGGGAGCAAAAGAGCAGGGAGCGAAAGAGCAGGGAGCAACAGAGCAGGGAGCGAAAGAGCAGGGAGCAACAGAGCAGGGAGCAAAAGAGCAGGGAGCGAAACAGCAGGGAGCAACAGAGCAGGGAGCGAAAGAGCGAAACCAGAAAGAGCAGGGAGCGAAAGAGCAGGGAGCAACAGAGCAGGGAGCGAAAGAGCAGGGAGTGAAAGAGCAGGGAGCGAAAGAGCAGGGAGCAACAGAGCAGGGAGCAAAAGAGAAGTGAGCGAAAGAGCAGGGAGTGAAAGAGAAGTGACGGTAAACCCCAGCCTTTCAGTGTACCGTTGAGGAGGCTGTCATCATTACGAAGAAATGTGAAGCTATCCTGGACTGGAGTGGAGGGCGCTGGTGATTCATCAACACACATGCAACAGCAGAAAGGACTCAGCGTACCCAGGAGTGGAGTAGTGAGTGCCGTAGAGGAAAGGCTTGGTGCGCTCTGATCCACTCTTGTCCCGAGGCATCTGGTGTGTGTGCGGGGGGGTGGGTAGGGGAGGGAGGTGGGTGGGGTTGGTGGGGTGGTGAGCGGTAGGAGATGAGCTTTTAGTCCACTCAAGAGCTTGGAGATATTGCAAGGCAGTGGTAACGACTGGGCCATGGTAACGAGGTGACTTTTGAGCCGACTCACAACGAGGTGACTTTTGAGCCGACTCACAACGAGGTGACTTTTGAGTCGACTCAAAAGTCACCTCGGAAGACAGTGGATGGATGCAAACGGCGGACAAAGGAGGGTTTCGTCTTGTCGAACCGATTTTTGCTTCATTGCACTGCTCCTGCACTCACTGCACCGCTCTTTGCCTCATTGTACCACTCTTTATTGCAATGTACCACTCCTTACCTCATCGTACCGCTCTCTGAACTCTGCAAGGCGTGCCGGGTTGAGCGCTCCCACTGGCTGCAGAGGTGGGGAGGGAGAGATTGAGGAAATGGAGAGAAAGGTGAAAAGTGGTGAAGGAAAGATGTTGGTAGGGGGTGAAGGAGAGAGGCGGGGAGGGGATGAAGGAGAGAGGTGGGGAGGAGATGGAGGAGAGAGGTGGGGAGAAGATGGAGGAGAGAGGTGAGGAGGGGATGAAGGAGATAGGTGGGGAAGGGGATGAAGGAGAGAGGTGGGGAAGGGGATGAAGGAGAGAGGTGGGGAGGGCAGATTCAGGAGGAGCAGCAGGGTGGTGACAGGCAGTAATCATGGGCAGCAGGGTGGTGACAGGCAGTAATCATGGGCAGCAGGGTGGTGACAGGCAGTAATCATGGGCAGCAGGGTGGTGACAGGCAGTAATCATGGGCAGCAGGGTGGTGACAGGCAGTAATCATGGGCAGCAGGGTGGTGACAGGCAGTAATCATGGGCAGCAGGGTGGTGACAGGCAGTAATCATGGGCAGCAGGGTGGTGACAGGCAGTAATCATGGGCTCTTGAGACATCTCAAAAATCAGGAGGAGAGGCAGGCAGGGTGGTGAGAAGGAGTGGTCTTTTGAGGCACCTCAAAACAAGTCGTTGGTGAAAGGCAGTGGACATTGCTCCCCGTGGGCTACACTACATTTGGGTCGCCTCAAAAGCACTACACAGCACAGCACAACAACACAGACGAGAATCCTCAACAAGGCGAAGAGAGGTGAGCGCTGCTTTCCAGTGCTGCTTTCGACTGCTCCTCCTCCTAACTGCAGTGCAGCTTCAGCGCATACAGATAGATGAGGTGGGCGGCAGGCGGGCGGGCAGGCGGGCGGGGCGGGTGGGGCGGGCATTCACCTTGGAGAGGTCTCTGAAGGTGGCGGGGTCGTTCAAATCGAGGTGGTGGGAGGTGTAATCCGCGAGCACCCAGGGCATGACGGGCCACCGCGCCAAACCAAGTCACGCATGGTGCGACAAGCAGGCAGGCAGAGGGCTCACACCTTGGAGAGGTCTCTGAAAGATGAAGGGTTGTCGAGGTTCAAGTGTGGGCTGGTGTAGTCCGCGAGCACCCAGGGCATGACCGGCCACTGCGCCAAGTCACACACACTGGCGAAAGCAGGCAGGCAGGCAGAGGGCGCACCTTGGAGAGGTCTCTGAAGGTGGCGGGGTCGTTCAAATCAAGGTGGTGGGAGGTGTAATCCGCGAGCACCCAGGGCATGACAGGCCACTGCGCCAAGTCACACATAGTGCGGCCCGCTGCCAGGTTGAGGAAGAGCAGATAGTCGCGGTTGGAGATGCGGCCGGTCTGGGGGAGTGGAGAAGGAGGTAGGGGACAGTGGGGTGAGAATAGTGCATGGAAGGTGAGGGGAGAGAGGTTGGGGAGGAGGAGATAGTTGGGGGTAGACTGGAGGGGCGGAGAGGGAGGAGGGAGGGAGGTGGTTTGTGAGAAGGGAATGAGAAAATGAGGAGACAGAGATGGGAGGGAGGGAAGGAATATACAGGGAGAGGGTGGGAGTTTTGAGACGTCTCAAAAGTGGATAACTGTCTCGCGGAAGCAAGGTATGGGAGGGAGGGGGCGAACAGGGAGAGGGTGGAAAAACGATTGGCTGTGGGAAACAAGGTATGGGGGAGAGGAGAGGGAGAAAACAATTGAGCAATGATGCTGAAATGCCATCCATCCCTGCCCCACCTGCCCCAGCCGTGCCAGCCACTGTCCCACTGCCCCACCGCCACACCTGCCCCAACCACCACACAATTATGTTGAAACTTCACTGCCCCACCTGCCCCATCCCCACCTGGCCCATCCCCACCTGCCACAGCCCCACCTGCCACAGCCCCGTGACGGCCTGCAGTGCGTGCGAGTGAGCCTCTAGTAGCGATGCTGCCGCTGCTGCTGGGCTGGACACACCCTGATGTGATGCCCGTTGGGAGGGAGACACGGGAGAGAGAGAGATGGTACAGGAGCGCCTGTCAGCAGCAGCAGAGCCACTACCGCTCCTGTCTCAAATGGACCCGCAGCTGTGCCTGCTCCTTCTCACACGGTGCGTGAGCCGCCGTGCCTCCTACCTCGTTCGAACGACGCCGCTAGACGTGCTGCCAGAGGATACTTGGTCGGCGTGGGGGGAACAGCTGCTGCACACTTACCTGTCAGCTGCACACACGGCGATACCAAGGGAAGAGGAGGAGCGGGGGAGAATCTGGCGGCAAGCAGCCCTGCCCGTGACACTGGGCGGCCTCGGCATCACCAACCCAGCCACGGAAGGGGCGTTCGCGTACCTGGCCTCGGTCATCTCCAGTGCCCATCTGCTGCACTCATTGGGCGACACGGTGCACCCCGCCATCGCCCGTATGCTGCCACTGATGGATGCAGACGCAGACTCACCTTCGGCCCTGCCACGGCGCCTGGCAGCGGCAGAGGCCGCGCTGCCCCCAGACGGACTAGAGGCGCTTCAGGTCGGCCGGCGCACCCCTGATGGTCCGAAGCTACAGCAGGCCTTGTCGCTGGCAGTCCATACCGCCCGTTACATTGAGCTACTCGACGCCTCTCGGGAAATGCCCTTGAACCCTCTCTTTGGCCACACTCAGCGCCTGCAGTCTCTCCTCGGGCCTGGGGCAGGAGATTGGCTGCTGGCCATCCCCCTGATCCCGGCTCTACGCCTAGGCCCCTCGCAGCACTCCACTGCAGCCTCCTTCCGCCTAGGCCTCCCCCTTCCTGTCCCACGGCGTTGCGACTGCCGCTACCGCACGACCTTCCCTGACCACCGCCTTCCCAACCACCTCATGCGCTGTGAGAAAGGCGGGGGGAGGATTGCCACTCACCATGCCCTTCGTGATGAGTGTGCGAAGATCGCAGCAGAGGCAGGATACACGGTGCACACGGAATCTACAGTTTACTCTCCGGTCGAAAACCTCAAAGCGGATGTTTGCATCCGCCATCCCGACACCGGCGAGGTTCACATGTGCGACATCACCGTGACGGACCCGGTCTCCCACCAGGATGAGCTTGCGCGGAAGGCGCCTGGGTGGGCTGCAAGGATGCAAGCCGCCAGGAAAGAGGACAAGTACGCGCGGCGGAACGCGTGGGTAGGCTTCCACGCCATGGCGGTGGAGATGTACGGCTACCCGTCCCCGGGAGTGCACGCCTTCCTCCGCAGCTGCGCCGAGCTCGCGGGCAAGCGGCGGTTCAACGCTGCGCCGAAGTCGAGGGAGGTGGCCAGGCTCCTCACGGAGTACCGGCAGCGCTGGAGTGGAGTGTGACTCTCCAGCGCGCCCAGGCCAACGCCCTTCGCGACAAGACCCACGAGGCCATAGCCGCGGATGAGCTTGGCCTGCAAGGCCCGTTTGGCAGCCTGGGGGAGGAGCAGCTGTACCAGGTGCTGGAAGACCCCACAGGCCAGTAGGGCCGTGGGGAGAGGGGACAGGGGAGGGAAGAGCCGTGGTACCTTGGTGTATTTGTTTGTTTGTTTGTTTGTTTGCTTGTTTGCTTGTGTGTTTGGTTGTTGGCTTGCTTGATTGCCGGTTGATTGCTTAGACTAGCTTAGTACCAATGACTGTACCTTGATGCTATTAATACGAAGGACCGTTCGAGAGAGTGAGAGCAGGGGATATGGAGAGTGAGAAACAGGAGAGAAAGAAAGAGCAGGGCGGGAGAAAGGAGAGTGAGAAGGAGAGGGTGAAAAACCGGGAGCGGTATGAAGCATTCGTAGACAGAGATTGGAGATTGGCTAAAAAACACTCTCTCACTCACCCCCAACAGCTTCTGCAGCAGCGCAGCAGCTCGGTCCCTCTCCCCCTGAGAGCTGAACACAAAGAACACACTGCTGCCATCCCCCAACGGCCCTCCGCCCCCACTCCCCCCGCTCCCCCCACTACCCCCAACTACCCTCCCCCTACCCACTCCGTTCCCCCCTCCTCTCCCGCCGGTGCCACCACCCCCCTCCAGTCCTCCTCCTCCTGAGCTCCCTGAGCTGGCACGCTGCGATAGGTCCGGGCAAGAGAAGAAGATTTCGAGGCCGCGGGGGCGCAGGGAGTGGCGGCGGCGGGCAGCGGAGAGGAGGAGGGGCAGGGGGAAGATTCGGAGGGGACTCTCACTGCTGATGGCGTGCAGTGGCTGTGAGAGAGGGGGAGGGGGAGGAATAAGCGGGAGAGGGGGGAAAAAAGGTGAGAACAGAGAAGAGGGGCAGGGGAAAGATTCGAAGGGGACTCTCACTGCTGATGGCGTGCAATGGCTGTCAGAGAGGGGGAGGGGGGTGAAAAGTGGAGTGGGAGTTGGAGAGAAAAAGAGGATAAAGGGAGGCGAGAAGGAGAGGGTGGGGGAGGAGCGGGAAGATGCAGATGGGGAGGGGATCCCTCTTAGTGACTTTTGAGTCGACTCAAAAGATGCAGATGGGGACCCCTCTTACTGCTGAGAAAGGTTGAAGTGGGAGAGGGGAGCGAGGGGATAGAGAGGAGAGGAGAAAAAGAGGAGAGGAGAAAAATAGGAGAGAAGGGCGAGAGAGGAGAAGGGGGGAAAATGGGGCTGGAGGGAAGGTGCGATGCGAGGGAGGGGCAGAAGGAAGATGCAAGAGAGGGACGTTCATGTGTGAGTGAGGTGAGTGAGGTGAGAGGTGCACAGCAGCTTGAAAGGAGGGAGCAAGAAGGGAAGGGGGCAAGTGCAGAGATAAGCGGACATGGAGTTAAGTTAACAAGCAGTGTGGAGGTGGGGGGGAGAAGCGTGAAGAGGAAAACATCAGCAGACACCACAGCATACACAGCCTACCCCACACAACAAAACGCAGTGGCATGTTAACTGCAATAGATGCCACCTGCACCAGATGTCCCCTGCACCAGATGCCACCTGCACCAGATGCCACCTGCACCAGATGCCACCTGCACCAGATGCCACCTGCCAGATGTTTCCTGCACCAGATGTCACCTGGAAGTAAAGCCGCTGCTGTGTGATCACAAGGCGGCCCGGCTCCCGAACCAGCGGCCGAACCTGAAGGTGAGGTTCGGGTCGGGCACAGATAGAGCATGTGTTGAAGGAGAGTCAAGATGGCCGGTAGAGTCATGGAAAGGCAGCCACGGCAACCGGCAGCCTGTGCTCTCCTCTCCTCCTCTCCCTCATTTCCACTAGTCAGCCAGCCAAGTAAACAAGCAGGCAGCAGAGACAACGCTGTAAATGCTCTGGGCATTAGTCATGTAGACTCACTCACACGGCAGTACACATGTGCCTTGTTAACCCGGCAGTCCAGGAGGAAGTACTCCTGAGTCAACTTAACCTGAGCTGACTTGCGTTGACTCACGTTGATTCAAGTTGACTCACGTTGACTCACGCCACACGCACCTGGGAGGCGAGGCAGTCGAGCAGGATGTGTTCGGAGAGGTCGACGAGGCGGCTGACGTCAAAGGGCGCCGAGGCCTCCATGAGGGACAGCCGCCGCGCCACCTCCATGTCTCGCTGCTCGTACGGCAGCAGCTGCACCCCCAGCACTGGCAAGGCTTCATCTAACAACTGGTGGGAGGGAAGGGAGGGACGGGGGGATGGGAAGAAGGGAGGGCCTGGAGGGTCAGCAGGCACCTCCATGTCTCGCTGCTCGTACGGTAGCAGCTGCACGCCCAGCACTGGCAGCGCCTTGTCTAACAGCTGAACATGGGATGGGGGGATGGCGCATGTGGGTATGGGGGACGCCTCCATCGGAGAGAGGCGCCGCGCCACCTCCATGTTCCGCTGCTCGTAGGGCAGCAGCTGCACGCCCAGCACTGGCAGCGCCTCGTCTAGGAGCTGTTGGGGAGAGCACGGGGGAGGAGGGTATGGGGGATGGGGTATGGGAGAATGACGGTCAGGTGCCGTGGCACCTCTATGTCCCTCTGCTCGTACGGCAGCAGCTGTAAATGACACCTCCATCCATATCCCTCTGCTCGTGATGACTTTCGAGTAGATATGTGTGGCTCAAAAGTCATCTCGCTCCCATGTGTGGCCCTTGCTTTTGAGTCATACCCGCTTGGAAGGGGAGCAGTGGGGGGAGAAGAAGTTCCCAGGTGGAGGGCAGAGCAGACAAGTGGCCCTCGTGGAGCTACTTCCCACCCGGCTGGTTGCTGTGTCGCCTCAATAACATCTGACTGGCCTACACGAGTGGTAGTAACCTGATGGTCCTACCCACGTGGTGGGCGTGGGGGATATAATTCCCAGCTACCGTTGTTTGGTCTTACAAGGGTGGTGGGGGACTGCTGAAGCAGGCACGCATACCCGTGAGGTGGGCGAGTAGTCAAGGGAGAAGGCCCAGGTGGACGGCAGCTCCTCCCCACCGCCCTGGTTGCTGTGTTACCTCAGTAGCATCTGATTCCGACCTCTCTGCGAGTGGCATAAACCTGCTTGCTGCACCCACAACAAGCACGCATACCCGTGAGGTGGGCGAGTAGTCAAGGGAGAAGGCCCACGTGGAAGGCAGGTGGCCCTCGTCCAGCTCCTTCTTCTCAAACTCGTACGGCACGTCCTGCCCACACGCCTTCATTGCCACATACATGCCTGTCGTCACATACACCACATCCCCATACCCATTATCTCCCCCATACCCCCCCACATCCCCATACGCATTCCCCGGCCTTCCGCCATCGTTCCTCCGCCCTCCCCCCACGCCCCGACCCCCGTCCTCCCCGCCCGCCCCCGCTCCTTCCCCCGCCCACTCCGCGCGGATGCGCCCCTCCGCGGCGAGTTTCGCGCCCAGCTGCGAGCGGTACCGGCGGCGCGACGCGGGGTGGAAAACGACTAGTATGTGCGGCATGGGGAACATTATAATGGGGATGGCGGGGTCCTGCGGCTCGAAGAAGAGCGATTTCATGCACAGCCGCAGCCGCCCGCCCGCGAGCGCGCGCGGCTGGCCATCCACGAGGTGACACGTGGCGACCCAGTCGGTTATGTAGTGGTCCCCGTCGTCGAGGAGAAGGAGGGAGAAGCGCTGGTGGCCCTTGCGACGCGCGGCTCCGCTCAGCATGATCGCAGAGGTGGGGAGAGGTGTGGAGAGGTGGGGAGAGGCGGGGAGGGTGCTGATGTGGCTGTGCGGCAATACTATCGAGACGATTTAGAATTCGTCGAGCAGGAGCGAGAATCGCTGAAGGCCCGTGTGACGCGCTGCCCCGCTGCCCCACTCAGCATGATCGGTGTGGAGAGGCAGAGACGAGCAGAGGTGGGCAGCGGGGGGGAACTGGCGGGGAGGGGCGAGGAGGGCCTAGGAGAGGCGAAAAGAGAATCTCGGTTGGTTATGCGCGGTACTTTCGAGACGACTCAGAAGTCGTGGAGCAGGAGGTGCGAGAAGCGCTGATGGCTGTCGCGACGCGCAAGAGACGACACAGGGCTCGGACTGGGAGCGCTACCTTCAGAGTCGACTCAAAAGTGGGCTCGGACTGGGAGCGCTACCTTCAGAGTCGACTCAAAAGTGGGCTCGGACTGGGAGCGCTACCACTGAACATGGCGAGCTTACGAGTGCCGCGCGCTTCGCCGCAAGCCTGGAGGCTTGGATGAGGGAGGCGCGGCCACCGAATGCATCCAGAACCAAGGGGGTCACCTCGATAACTCCAAGGTCACGGTTCTGGGCGAAGTTTGCCCGCCATCAGCTCAAAATGGCCCTCAATGACGTGTAAAAACACCCTATCATTGGTCATCACACAAGTTTCCAGATATATTGGAGCATGGAAGCCAATCAGACGTGTACTTCCGTCTACACGTCCCTACTTCGGATGGCGGGCGAACTTCAGAACCACGATCCAATTCGGACAAACATAGCTTTCTCAACAGAAAATAGAGAACTAGGACGTAATTTTTGTAAGGTCGAGAGCGGCACGAAACCACACCATTCAGCGTTTTGGCGTAAGAGGAGGTGCAGTTAGGGAAAATTTGGCGATACTTGCAGAGAACCTTACGAACAGAAACGAAATTCAATCGTCCATGGTACGACTTGCGGATGAGCTGCTGGTGAGATGTGTAATCCAAATGGCACCTTCTCCCCAGTTTGGGTCCGCGGGACAGAGCACCTTCGTAAGGTTATTCGCGTTATTAGTCATTTCCCCGCGCACACGTAACAGGTTGAGAGACGCACAAGAATTCTACACATTCTGAAATCTAGCCTCACTCTGGCACGGCCTCAATCTACACATCTACCACCATGTTTTTGTCCTTTGGGCACTCTATAGATGGAAACGGCAAAATGAACTGCAACAGGAAAACTCTTGGTCAGCATCCTTTTATGACATTAGCTAATTTATCCCATCAGCAACTACAGCACCAGCTACACTACAGCCTCAACCTCTGTGCCCACCTCAACAGCCCCTGCTGGATCTGCCACACGCTGCTCCCCTCCATCAATCATCTCCATGCTCTCCTGCTCTGCTTCTACACCCTCCCCACCAGTACCAACCACCCCAGACCCTTCCTCCTCTCCTCCCCATCTTGCCATTCCCTCCCCGTCAATACCTTCCTGCTCCTCCCACACAGCCTGCTCCATCTCCTCCTTGGACCCCTGCTTGAAATACGCCCCTGCAATCTCTATAAGCACATTCAGCATTTCCAGCCCTTCGTCCTCGCGTGACTGTATCGAAGCCCTCAGCCCAGCACACTTCCTCAGCAGCTCTCGCAGTGATGCTGCAGTCTCCGCTTCTATTGGCTCGTCCACCCCCGCCGCCCACGCCACCAGCCACATGCCGCGCCACGTGTCGACTGCTGATTGGCCGATGGCCCAGTCCACATGGGCGCGGAGGAGCGCGGCGCGACCAACCGCGTCACAGTGCAGCACTGTGCCGAGCAACGGAGCGAGCTGATTGGCCCGGCCCGGGAGCACGCACTCCATGGCTGCCACGTCAGCATCTGACGGCCATGGCACGGGCATGGATGGTTGCTCAGTATAGTCTTCAAATGGATCAAGACCAGGGTTGCTGCTTTCGTCATTATCTGGTACCCACAGAGGCAGGGATCCCGAGTAGTTGATCATCTCATCCAGTGCTGCTTCCACGTCAGCGTCCACCTCAGCATCATCTTCCGTGTCCACATCAGCGTTGGCATCCAAATCAGCATCTACATCATAACCGCCGTCAGTCAAACTGTTATCCTCAGCAGTTGCTGTTGGTGTAGCAGCAGCATCCATGGCAACAACATCTGTAGCAACAACATCTGTAGCAACAACATCTGTAGCACCGAGCTCCGTATTTGCCTCCAATCCATCACAACCCACACCTCCATCGCCCCTTTCCATCACATCCCCTGCCACACCATCCCCTGCCACACCATCCCCTGCCACATCATTCCCTGCCACATCATCCCCTGCCACACCATCACCTGCCGTCTCCCCTTGTGCAACCACCCTCTCCTCCTCCGTCCCCCCTGCAACGCCTTGAGGGTCCGTCACAGAAAGCCCCTTTACCGAAAGCCCCTCCGGCAGCTGATCTGACAGCTTTTCCAGCAGCCCTTCTGTGAGCCCTCTTGAGATTCCTTCTGAGGGTGCCTTGCTCTGCGCTTGTGCAGTCACACACGGCAGCAGCAGCGCCAGGCCCCTGGGCGCCTCTCCTTCCCCTCGTCCCTCTCCTTGCTGCTGCTTTACCTGTTCGCTCTCACTCACACCCGATGCAGTGTCACATGCAGTGTCAAGTGAAGTGTCATGTGCAGTATCATGTGCAGTGTCATGTGAAGTGTCATGTGCAGTGTCACATACCATGTCATGCACGCTCGCACTGGCATCACCTTCCGCCTCCTCTCTCAAACTCCCGCCTTCCACCTTCCCATAAGCTCCTGCTTCACATGCCTCCCCTCCCTCACCTCTCTCCTCTCCTCCTAAATCTTTCTCCACACACTCGATCTCCCTCTTCCCTCCATCCTCCATCCCTCCACCCTCTGCTTCCGAACCACAACAAACCTCACCCCCCTCCTTCGTCTTCCCCTCCCCACCATCCTCCTTTTCTTCCTCTCCCTTTTCACCCTTCGCTTCATCCTCTCCTCTTTCACCACCCACCTCCTCCTCCCTTCCTCCACCCCCAACCTCCTCCACTCCCTCATCCCCCCCTCTCTCCCCATCCACGTCCTCCTCCCACGCACCCCCCTCCTCCTCTCCAATCAAATCCTTCTCCTCATCATCCCCATCCACATCCCCTTCCCCTTCTCTGCTTCCCTCCTCGTCACTCTCTCCACCCTCACTCTCTCCTCTCTCGCTTCCCTCCCCTTGGTTCACCTCTCTGCAATCCTCTCCCTCACCCTTACCACCCGCCTTCCTTCCCGATCTCCTCTTCGCCTTCAGTTTGACACCCCCTCCCCGCACTGCCCCTTCGCCCCCCTCCCCTTTTTCACAAGGCAGTGCACGGCCGAAGCAGTAGGAGTGCCACGCGTGCAGGTCGCGGTGGGATGGGATGGGCATGCCGTGACACGTGGCGACTCGTGATTCGTCAACGCCTTCAAGGCTCTGCAAGAATGGTGGGGATGATGGGAAGAAGTGGGGTAGAGTGGGACAGAGTGGTAAGAGGGGGATTGAGTGGGGTAGAGTGGGACAGAGTGGTAAGAGGGGGATTGAGTGGGGTAGAGTGGGACAGAGTGGTAAGAGGGGGATTGAGTGGGGTGGTGTGGTGTAGAGTCGGGCAGCAGAGAGTTTGGTTAATGAGAACCGTATTAATCTCACCCCTCACAGGATGTCCTCGTACCCCCTCCGTTAATCACGAAGGCAATCAGCCACCGGTAAGCCCCGCCCCCCACCTGTGCGGCGCCTTACAGTACAGCAGCACCCACATGGCACCATGCCATGCACAGCAGCACCCACATGGCGCCATGCCATGCACAACAGCACCCACCCACCTGGCACCATGCCATGCACAACAGCACCCACCCACCTGGCACCATGCCATGCACAGCAGCACCCACCTCGGGCGGCAGGGAAACATCTAGCTGGCGCAGCAGAAAGGCACCCACCTGGCGCAGGTATCCAAAGCTGACTTTTGAGTCGACTCAAAAGTCAGCACCCACCTCGGGCGGCAGGGAAACATCTAGCTGGCGCAGCAGAAAGGCACCCACCTGGCGCAGGTATCCAAAGGCAGCTTGCACGTACTGCCGCCACTCATGGGAAGGCAGCAGCAGGGCGGGGCAGGCAGGCACAGTTTAGCACAGCACCGCACCGCACAGCACCGCATAGCACAGCACAGCACAGCACAGCACAGCACAGCAAAGCACAGCAAGAATCCCCCCAGGAAACAGCACCCACCTGTCTCAGGTATCCAAAGGCGGCTTGCACGTACTGCCGCCACTCAGGGGAGGGCAGCAACAGGGCGGGGACAGGCAGGCACATGCAACACTCACCTGACGCAGCACAGAAAGTAAACACACATAACCCACGCAGCAGAGCAGAACAGCACCCACCTGTCTCAGGTATCCAAAGGCGGCTTGCACGTACTGCCGCCACTCAGGGGACGGCAGCAACAGGGCGGGGACAGGCAGGCACATGCAACACTCACCTGACGCAGCACAGAAAGTAAACACACATAACCCACGCAGCAGAGCAGAACAGCACCCACCTGTCTCAGGTATCCAAAGGCGGCTTGCACGTACTGCCGCCACTCATGGGACGGCAGCAACAGGGCGGGGACAGGCAGGCACATGCAACACTCACCTGACGCAGCACAGAAAGTAAACACACATAACCCACGCAGCAGAGCAGAACAGCACCCACCTGTCTCAGGTATCCAAAGGCGGCTTGCACGTACTGCCGCCACTCAGGGGAGGGCAGCAACAGGGCGGGGACAGGCAGGCACATGCAACACTCACCTGACGCAGCACAGAAAGTAAACACACATAACCCACGCAGCAGAGCAGAACAGCACCCACCTGTCTCAGGTATCCAAAGGCGGCTTGCACGTACTGCCGCCACTCATGGGACGGCAGCAACAGGGCGGGGACAGGCAGGCACATGCAACACTCACCTGACGCAGCACAGAAAGTAAACACACATAACCCACGCAGCAGAGCAGAACAGCACCCACCTGTCTCAGGTATCCAAAGGCGGCTTGCACGTACTGCCGCCACTCATGGGACGGCAGCAACAGGGCGGGGACAGGCAGGCACATGCAACACTCACCTGACGCAGCACAGAAAGTAAACACACATAACCCACGCAGCAGAGCAGAACAGCACCCACCTGTCTCAGGTATCCAAAGGCGGCTTGCACGTACTGCCGCCACTCATGGGACGGCAGCAACAGGGCGGGGACAGGCAGGCACATGCAACACTCACCTGACGCAGCACAGAAAGTAAACACACATAACCCACGCAGCAGAGCAGAACAGCACCCACCTGTCTCAGGTATCCAAAGGCGGCTTGCACGTACTGCCGCCACTCATGGGACGGCAGCAACAGGGCGGGGACAGGCAGGCACATGCAACACTCACCTGACGCAGCACAGAAAGTAAACACACATAACCCACGCAGCAGAGCAGAACAGCACCCACCTGTCTCAGGTATCCAAAGGCGGCTTGCACGTACTGCCGCCACTCATGGGACGGCAGCAACAGGGCGGGGACAGGCAGGCACATGCAACACTCACCTGACGCAGCACAGAAAGTAAACACACATAACCCACGCAGCAGAGCAGAACAGCACCCACCTGTCTCAGGTATCCAAAGGCGGCTTGCACGTACTGCCGCCACTCAGGGGAGGGCAGCAACAGGGCGGGGACAGGCAGGCACATGCAACACTCACCTGACGCAGCACAGAAAGTAAACACACATAACCCACGCAGCAGAGCAGAACAGCACCCACCTGTCTCAGGTATCCAAAGGCGGCTTGCACGTACTGCCGCCACTCATGGGACGGCAGCAACAGGGCGGGGACAGGCAGGCACATGCAACACTCACCTGACGCAGCACAGAAAGTAAACACACATAACCCACGCAGCAGAGCAGAACAGCACCCACCTGTCTCAGGTATCCAAAGGCGGCTTGCACGTACTGCCGCCACTCAGGGGAGGGCAGCAGCAGGGCGGGGCAGGCAGGCACAGCAGCCACTCGCGGCAGGTAGCGGGCAGACAGGGCCACTGGGGCACCGCTGCTGCTGCTGCTTCTGCTGTCGTCAGTGCTGCTAGTGGGATTGCCGCCAGGTGGTGGCTTCTCATTGGCTGCTGCGACGACCACCTTGGGCACACGCTCCCGCTCCCACCTGCACAGGGCGGACCAGAGAAGAGGGGAAGGGATTCGAGAGGAGGCGAGGAAAGAGTTGACTTTGGAGTCGCCTCAAAAGTCGCTCCCGCTCCCACCTGCACAGGGCGGACCAGAGAGGCATGGGAGGCGGGAGGAGGCGAGGAAAGGAAACGCGTGAAGTGACGGGATTTGAGGGGATTTGGAGTGACGGGAGTTGAGAAAACAAATGGAGGAACGAGGGAAATGGAGTATAATTTCCTGTTCTGAGTGGTGGCACAAGTTAGACTCTCCTACCCTGGACTTGGAAACAGGGATTGTTGAAAACATCCACCTTTAAAGGGCTTGTGCTATACGATCATGAAATCCCTCCCTCCTGCTAGCACCCCTCACCTGACGCGGCGCAGGTACTCGAGGTCATCCCGGGGGTGTGGAATGGAGAAGTCTGTTTTGAGTTGAGACGTGTCAAAACGAACCAGCTTGCCAGCCAGCACTACCAACACTAGCCTCACCTGACACGCCGCAGGTACTCCAACCCGTCCAGGAGGTGTGGAATGGAGAAGTCCGGCTCGCCATACACCGGCAGAGCCCTCGCCTGCACCTCCTCTGTCCACTCCACTCTACTCACTCTTCATACCTCTTCGTCAGTACGTACATCCCCCCCTCCTCACCTGACACGCCGGAGGTACTCCAACCCGTCCAGGGGATGAGGAATGGAGAAGTCCGGTTCGCCATACACCGGCAGAGCCCTCGCCTGCACCTCCTCCTCCTCTTCTTCCTCCTCCTCCCATTCCTCCTCCTGCTGCCGCGCTTCCTGCTTTCCCCGCTGCTGCTTGCCCCACTGTCCCCCCCACCGCTCCTCCTCTAGGCGTGGTCGGCACTGTGACTCGGTCGTTCCACACACATTCAGACCATCCCACCTGCCACCAGCAGTAACGCCAGCAGAAGCAGTAACAGCAGAAGCAACACCCACAGCAGTGGCAGCAGCAGCAGCAGCAGCAGCATTGGCATCGGCTGTGTTGCTCAAGGCTTCTTCATCCATCTTCTGTGTCGGCCCAGCCTTGCCTATCTCACCATCACCTGCTTGCCCTGCCTCCCCCACCTCTTCTCCCCTTGGTTGTGCGGCAGCAGCAGCTGTTGTGGTGGCAGGGGTGCCAGTAGCATCATCTGTGGTCCTGGAAAGGCATGCATGGTCAGCGTTTCCAATAATGGAAGCCTCTTCTGTTGCACCAGTCACCATTGTGGCACCACCACCACCCTCCCCGCTGCTGGTAGCAGCAGTGGCTGCAATTGCAACAGCAGCAGTACCGGTGACAGAAGCGCCAGCAGCAGGAGAGGCAGCACCTGCAACAGTGGCAGCAGCGTCAGAAGCGGCAGCAGCAGCAGCAGCAGCAGCATACCCTCTGGCCTCAGCTGCCCAGCCTGCCGTGTGCGTCTCAGTACTTGGCATCGCCTCACTTCCCCCACGCCCACTCGGACTGCCCCAGATACCACCTCCACCACCACTGCCGCCGTTACTGTTGCTGTTGTTGCTGCTGCTGCTGCTCTCCCCATGCGCGTTCCCCCGCCCCCTCCCTCCTCTCCCGCTCTGCTCCTGCCCCCCTGCATTCTTCCGCCCCTTACGCCTTGACCCCTTCTCCCCCGCCCCTCCCCCTCCCCCACCTCCGCCTCCCCCTGCGCCTCCCCCGCCCCCTCCCCCTCCCCCCCCTCTTGCCACGTCCCTCATGAGCTCCTCCACAGCCAGCTGCGTGCTGCCATTCATGGTGCGCCACGTGTCACGCTGGTACTGGACGGATTGCAGCCCGATCTGCTTGAGCTGCTCAAAGGAGTACACGTGGACAGGTGCTGCACACGTGGCTGACCCTGCTCCTCCTGATCCTCTCCCTCCTCTCTTACCACTGTTACCTCCTCCCTCTGCTCCTACTCCCCCACCTCCTCCGCCTCCTCCTCCTCTGCCTCCTTTCCCAACCACACCACAACCTGTCCCACCCTCAGCACCCACCATCGTCGGCCCCACCCATCCATCTCCTTCCTCCTCCCCTCCCTTCCCCATACCCACACTCTCCGCTCTGCCCGCCTCTCCACTCATCCCCCACTCCTTCTCAGCTACATAGCCAGTGGCCTCCATTGCCCCCTGCCCCTGCCATGCCCTCACATCCCTGCCCCAACCAGACGACCCTGCTTCCATACCCATACCTGACCCAATGTCTGTGCCCATGCCCATACCCATGCACGGTTCCCTACCAATCCCAATACCCATCTCCATACCTGTTCCCATGCCTGCGCCCATGCCTGCGCCCACGCCTGCAGCACAAGCGGCATGCATGGGCATGTACATTTCCCCATGCACAGGAGGCATAGGCATGGGCACCCCTCCCGGCACGGCCATTGGACCCCCTCCGTGCGCGGGCATGCCACCAGGCATGGCATGCCATGCAGCATCAGCAGCAACACCAGCCCAGCCCCCAGGCGCGCACTGCATGGCGCTAACACCAGGGGGAACGGGCAGAGGCACAGGCAGAGGCATAGGCATGGGCAGAGGTATGGGCATGGGCAGGGTGAGAGGGGGTCCGTAGCCTTTGCCAAGAATGCCCTTCTCTGCGTCTGGAACCCCATGGGGGGAATCAGCTGTTGCTGCTGATGATGATGATTCTGGCAGTGCAGGGGCGGCTGGGGTGCCAGGTGCTGTGCTTGCAGCGGGGGAAAGGACTGGCTGGGGGGACGCCTCTGAAGGGGCGGGGGTTGGCTGGGGAGAGGAATTCTCAGAGGGGAGGGTTGCAGGAGCAAGGGAGTATGGAAAAGCGGGGAGAGGAGAAGAAGAGGGGTGAGGAGGTGTGGCGGAGGGAGGGGTGGCTGAGGAGAGAGAGGCTGTAGTAGGGAGAGGAGAGGCGGCAGCAGCTGCTGGTGAGGCTGGGAGGAGGGAAGGCGACTCTGGGGCGGTGGGGACAAGGCAGCCTGCCGCTTGCTCGCATGTCTCTGTCTGTGACTGTGTGTGCAGCGTGTTCGCTGGCAATGTGTGAGATTGCTGCTCCTCACTTGCCTCTGCCACCAGCGGGGTGCACTCCCTGCCGCCACCCACTGCACCGTACCCATCTGCAATGCCACGAATCCCCTCTGTATCCGCACTCGCTGCGGGAATCGCCGCAGCACTCCCAGCAGCTATAGCCACAGGAGCGGAGGCAACAGCAGGAGTCGGAGAGGCATCTGCCGCGGTCTCCGGGAGAGAAGGAGCAGAGGGAGAGCACGAGGCAGCATCTGTCAATCGACTCGTTTCAACTGGTGGTTTTCCTGACCCACTCACATCCTGCCTATCATCCTCCACCCTCTCCTGCTCCTCTCCATTCTCCCCTTCCCCCTCCCCTTGCTGTTCCTTTTCCGGCACTCCTTCCTGCTCCTTTTCTCCTTCCTGCTGCCGTTCCCCTTCCTCCTCCCTCTCCCTTTCGACACCCCTCTCCAAATTTTCACTCACTTCTCTTCCCCGCTCCTCTCCTTCTCTCTCCTCCACGTTCTCCCTCTCCTTCTCCCCACTCCCCGCCTCGGCTGCTATCTCCTCTCCACCGCCTCTTTCCTCCCCCTCCTCACGCTCCACCCCCTCGCCCTTCTCCTCCTCCGTCCCACTCCCACACCCCCCATCCGTACACGCAGCACCAGGCGACTCTTGAGTCGGCCCAGAATTCTCCTCCTTCGCGCCACACTCCCCATCCGCGCTCGCTTCATCTGCAGCACACTCTCCTGCTTCACCTCCGCCTGAACCTCCCTCTCCTGCAATCTCGGTCCCTTCCAATGCTCCGTCTGCCACCCTCTCATCTCCTAGCCTCTCCCCCTCCTCTTCCACGTCCCCCCCTCCCCTCCCCTCCTCCATCACCTGCCCTTGCTCCGCCGCTTCCTCCCTCTTTACCACCCCCTCTCGCAACTCTTGCCCCTCTCCCCGCTCTCCCCCGTCTCCCCCTTCTCCCCCGTCTCCCCCTTCTCCCCCTTCTCCCCCTTCTCCCCCGTCTCCCCCTTCTCCCCCTTCTCCCCCGTCTCCCCCTTCTCCCCCTTCTCCCCCCTCTCCCCCTTCTAAACCCCCTCTCCCGTCCCCTAAACCGTTTCCCAAAGTCATTCTCTCAGTATTCGCCTGCTCATGCCCCCTCTCCTCTCTCCCTCTCTCCTCTTCCTCCCCCCCCTCCTCCTCCCGCTCATCAATGCCCCCACCCCTCTGCTCCTCCTCCCCTTCCCCCTCCCCGTCTCCTTCCCCCTCCCCCACAACCTCCTCCCCAGCCATCCACTCCCCTCCATCCTCCTCCCCGTCCCCCGCATACTCTTCCCACCCCTCCGCCTCTTCCCCCGACGCCCCAGGGGCCGTTCCCCCATCCGCCGACCTACTCCCTCCCCCCCTTCTCCCCCCTCCCCCCCTCCACCCGCCTCCCCTTCCGCCTCCTCCACCCCCTCCTCCCCTTCCCCCGTACCCCCTGCTTCCCCCTCCCCGCCCTCCCCCAGACGAAGAACCCCCCGCCCCTCCCCCTCCCCCTCCCCCTCCCCTTCTGTTACCTCCGCCCCCTCTTCCTCCCCCGCTCCCTCCCCCACCCCTCCGCCCACCTCCTCGCCTTCCCCCGCCATCCCCATCACCACTCCCCTCATCCTCCTCACCCTCTCCCCCCTCACCTCCCCCTTTAGAGACACTCCCGTTAGAAGCACCCGCCTTTCTATCGCCCTGCGGGCCTCCATGCGCGCTCCCCTGCCTGCGCGCGCCAGCGTCTCCCTCCGCCTGTCGCCCCTGCTGCTGCTGCAGCAGCGCGCCAGCCATCGCTGCGCCAGCATGAGCGGGTTGCCCCGCCTCAGGACTCGCTGTGGCGCGCGCAGCAGCAGCGCTAGGCGCAACAGCAGCGCCAGGCGCAGCAACAGCGCTAGGCGCAACAGCAGCGCCAGGCGCAGCAGCAACGCCAGCAGTAGCATGCAGGGACGGCGCAGGGACACGGACGGCGGTAGCAGCAGCATTGAGATCCGGAGCAGAAGTGGGTTCCGTGGCAACAGACGATCCCGCAGCTGCTGCGTCCGCGCCGGCAGTAGGGACAGCTGTCACGACGGGAGCAGCAGTCGTTGCTGACGTGGCAGCGGAGTGAGCACTCGCGGAGGGATGGGTCGGAGGCGGTGCAATGGGAGTCGGAGGAGTGGCAGCAGCATTGATGACGGGTTGAGAAACAACGCTCGATGTAACAGCAGCTGCAGCCGCAACCGCTGCGGCAGCAGGAACAACAGCAGCAGCAGCAGCAGCAGCAGCTGAAGGGGCTGTGTGTGTGGGTACTGCAGCAGCTGCCACTGAAGGGGCTGTGGCTGCCGGTACTGCAGCAGTCGTCACTGACGGTACTGCTGCAGCAGCAGGGAGGCTCGTCCCGCCGTTGGCCCTCATATTGCCATCTTCTAGCCCATCCGCCGGCGCACCGTTGATCGCCGGCCTCGTTGACGATCCAACGGCGGACAACGCGCCATCAGCCGCGGCATTCCCGAAGCCGACTGTAGCGGGCTGAGCGAATCGCGGAGCAGATGGATCGCTGGCGGCTAAAGCGGCAGGGTTTGGATGGGGCGGCGGAGCTACCTGCGCGCCGGAGACGGGCGCGATGCTGGCGGGGCCAACCAGCGCAGTGTGTTGGGGTTCTATTTGCGGTTGGATAGGGGTTTGGTGCGGTTGGATAGGGTGCTGGTGCGGTTGGATAGGGGGGTGGCGCGGCGGAGCGACCTGCACGGCGGAGACGGGCGCGATGTTGTCGGGGCCGAGAAGCTCGAGGCGGCGCTGGCGAATGAAAGCGTTCACCTTAAGGAGGTATTCGGGGTCCACCGCGAGCTCCGCTGGCCCCGAGGGAGGGATCTGATGGTTCATGGCGTCGCGGAAGGTTCTTGCAAATTCTCAAACACCACCTGCTACAGAACCACGTTTACTTTAATTGGGTAGTTGGTGTCCACCGCGAACTTTGCTAGGACCGATGGAATGATCAGTCATAGCGGCGCGTGATAATGCCAAACAACGCGGCTGGAAATAGTAGGGAATGAGGTTCTGGGGTAGTTTTGCGGATGCGAGAATGTCGGGAGTGGATTGATTTGAGTGAAGAGGAGAGGAGAGTTCGTTGCTGAAATTTGTGTTGAGTGGGATGTGTACGGGTTTGACCATTTTCCGCATCTGTACTTTAGCGCGTACGATTTCCACGCCCCAGACCTTTGGTTGGGGCAAAACCCCCGCCCAAAGTTCGATTTTAGCAAAGTGCACACGCAAGCGTCAGTGTGCAAGGATATCCATCCTATTTTCGAGTAATATTTCATACATGGCATTCACATCATAACCAATGGACTAGCTCATGACAAAGTGAATATACAAGGCGAAAGCTAAAATCCGGTAAGATACGAAGGCAGAATTTGATGCTGTTTAAAGTGCTTTTGTTGGAGAGTTTTACTTGCCGTCGTCATGATAGCAGCTGTAGTGGTGTAGTACTTGTTCTAACTTCCATGACAATAGCTGCAGTGTCTGGCACTGCTGTATCAATATCAAGTGGTGTCTGGTCCTCCTGTATCAATTGCTGCTGTTTCAGCAATGCTGAATCTCGCTGCCACGACACAAGCCACCAAGTTTTATAATGTTGTGACGAGCTAGCGGTATTGATGTTGCTGATGCTAGAGCAGCAGGCCATGGTAACTTGCTGCTGTGAAAAGCGGCAATCTCTGTTGCTGGTGACGCAATAGCTGCTTTGTCTGGAGATGCTGTGACAGATTGCAGTGCAGTAGAGCCCTTTGCTGCAGTTACAACTAGTAACACTGTCAAAACAATAGCAGCATCTGCAGTTGCTGTTACATGAGCACTCATGTCTGACGCAGCAGAGTGCTACAGAATTAGAAAAGAAAACAAACCTTGAGGCATACAAGAGGCTGGAAAGTCAATGACTATTCGGAAAAACACAAACCAGAGTCAGACACTTTCCTATCACAGTATCTCATCCAGTTCTTCATAGCTTACCTCGTTCTTGCACGTATTTTCAAGTCTCGTAACATCACAAAGCCATTATCATGGTATGCTGAAACTACATCACCAGCTCCAGCCTGCCAGCTTGCTTTTTGTATTCCCTGCGAAGGTGTGGGTTTGTGGGCAACTGTTAATTCCCAGTATCCATTGCACATCGTTCTGTGCGAGAATCACTGAACAGATCCGGCTCTTCTCTTCTGAAAGGAAATAAAACTAGTAACAACAAATACATGACGAGACTAAAGTTGGCAAGGTTCCAACTTTCAACCTACCACCGTTTCAACTCATCTCAATTTTCTCAGTGCGAGCACCACTCCTCGCAACCCCCCCCTGCTGCGGCAAACCTGACCTAGTCGCATCTTTCCTTGCACCTCTTGGCCTTGTCCTTGCACTTCTTGTACTTGTCTTTGCACTCGCCCTTGTCCTCGTTATTGTCCGCGTCGGACTTGCAGTCGGAGTTCTTGGACTTGCACTTCTTCTTCTTCTTGTCGCACTTCTTCTTGCACTCCGAGCTCGCTAGCACGCGGTGCACCTGCGGCGACCACAGAAACCGGCGACTTCCGCTGACGAGCGCGCCCAAGAAACCTGGAATTAATAAAACAAAGGCGAAGTGGATTGAAGAATCATAATATCTAAAAAAACCGGGCCGATGATGTAATCAAGGTTGCGGGTGGTGGCCCACGTGTGGAATTCGTGTGGAATGTCCTTGTTTGTTCAGTGGAACAAAATGTACGGCGGGGATCTTACCAGGCGAAGATGCGACAAGGGCGTTGTCGTCATCGTCGTCAAAATCGTCGTCGTCCTCGGCGTCGTTCGCGATCCCATTCGCGTGGCACAGTGGCGCGAGCACGAGGGACAGAAGAAGGGAGAGAGCGAACAGCAGATAAAGACACTTGAGACTCCTCATGGTGGCTTGCACGTGAAACTCTATGAGAGCGCTCAGGTCAGTGTCGCAGAAAACTGAGCGTATAGAGAGTGTTTCGAGGACAGGAGAGGAATCACTAGGCGTGAAGGTTTGGTGACTATCGTTGGAAGTCAAGTAAGATTATATAGTGATAGCTGGATGCAAGGAAGCAAGTGGATTTCGCGATCGTCGAACGGGCCTGTGGGATAAGCTGTGGGTGCGCTGACTGCCTTGAGCAAATGAAACGAGCGGGAATCCCATGGCGCCGCAGCGGCTCCACCTTGGGAGTACGGACAGCAAGGGAAGAACGGGATTTTTTCGGCCTCAGACGAATTTCGAATCGCGCTGTTCCCTCTGCGCAAGAAATGTTTGATGTCTGACGGGGCGCAAAGGGGTCGCCAAAGTCTTAATCCCAAGGGCAAATTCGCTCGAAGGACAGTTGTCAAAACTGCTACAAAGTTGAGCACGATGTGATCCAAACCTTCAAACAAGAACGAAGGGTCCGCTTGTGGAAGTTTACAAACATGACCTGGGCTGCTTTGTGCCAGTTTGCTAGGCCAAATCTGCCTGAAGCCTTGGCAGCAACTGGCGTAGCACACCATTGAACATGCCACGTCAACAAAGGGAAGCGAGTCCCTTTATGATCCACTCGGGGAAATTCTTAGTGCCTCTTTTCTTCATTTAAAAGCAGCTCTTAGCTACTTTTATTAATAGATCGTGTAGTGTAGTGTGACACAAAACGAGTGTCTATCTGACAAATATAATATATTTTTTTATTAATAGATCGTACCCATAAGTGATGGTGTGACCAATAGTCTATGCACAATACTGGCAACCTTGCTTCTAGTGCCACTCCACATGGGTTGAGGAGTCTATTGTTCAATAGGGAGTGTTACATATTCTCTCGTACCACCTGGTCGCGATTTTCCACCTTTCCTTCACCACCACGAGTTTTCACTGGGCATCCTGGCGGCTGGGAACCTTTGGCCCACGTGGCTGAATGTGAGCGGAAAATAATTTGGATGTTTGATTAGTACCATCTTAGGCGATTTAGCATGTGCCTGTACGTTTCAGAGCGGTTCATTGATTGTTTCACCACGTGCACCACGTCACGCCGCTCACCACATACACGGCTTTCCTGAATCCTGGACAAATCGTCAGTTGCTGCAAGCGATCGCCATAACCTATTCGACTGTCCATGATCCTGCATGATCACAGCGGTTTCGTTAGCTTATAGCTACGCTTCAGCCATTCCTCGGGCTTGATTTGCATCCAGTTTGGCTTGTGAAACCATTGAATCTCTCGAACGCTTCCTTCTTTTCCCCTCTCGAGGAATAGCTGTTCCCTTGACCATCCGTGCGTGTGTGCGAGCGCTATTTGCTTGCAAGTTTAGCACATCTGCTTCCCACATTCGTGTCCTTAACAAATTTTTCCATGGCGGAGATACCGCTACGTTCCAAACACAGAGCGCAGGATAGACGGATAGGCTGCTGGTGCTAGTCAGTCCGCTTCCGCTGTTTTTTTCCCAGCTTTCCCGCGCACACAGAATGTTCAGCCGCGCATTGTACAGTACATTGCATACGTTTAGATAGTAGTTCATCATTAGAACCCATCTGCTCCCGCGACGATGTCCGTCATGACTGCGCGAACGTCAGCGCGAAAGCTGGCGCAAGTGTTACCATCAAATGTCGTCGCTGACGTAAGCCGTACACCCCTACCCTTTCTCTCCCCCGCCCTCCTTCTCTCCGTTTCTCTCGCTTCTGCTATCGCATTTCGTATGCTTTCTCACGCATACTCCAAGCTACACCTTCTCTCCCGTTTCCTCTCCCTCCTCTCTTCACACTCTCGCGCCTTTCTCCCGGTCTTCCCCCTCTACATCATCGCCATTCCCCGCATCCTCTCCCTGCGCCGCCAAATTTACCGGTGCGCGTTCAAGGCGCAGACGGGCGTGAGCTTCATGATCCCGCACGGCGCATTCTTTTCAATCCGCAGCCTCACTTTCGAGGCACCTCACACGTATACCCCCCACCTTACCCTCCTCCACCCCTGCGGCCAGATCTACCGGTGTTCGTTCAAGAAACAGACGGCTTAAAGAACATGATGGCACACGGCGCCTTCCCCGCAGTCCACAGCCTCTCTTTTGCAGCACCTCACGCGTATACTCCTCCCCGCACCCTCCACAGATCTACCGGTGCTCGTTCAAGAAGCAGACGGGCGTGAGCCTCAAGAACATGATGGCGCACGGCGCCTTCCCCACGGAGCGCAATCTGCTCTCCTCCGCGCAGTTCCTGCAGCAGGAGCTGCCCGTGCGCCTCGCCCACCGCGTCACCGAGCTCGAGAACCTCCCCTACGGCCTCTCCACAAAAGCGCCCGTGCTCAAGGTGCGTCTGGGTTCAAGGTCAGCTAATTCCCTCTGTCGCCCCTCCCCGGGCTTAAGGTGAATGCTGCCCGTGCGCCTCGCGCACCGAGCTCGAAAAGCTCCCCTACGGCCTCTCCACCAAGGCGCCCGTGCTCAAGGTGCGCCCGTGCTCAAAGTGCGCCCGTGTCCAAGGTGCGCCCGTGCTCAAGGTGAGCTGCTTCCCCCTCTTCTCCGCCCAGGTACGGGACTGGTGCGTGGACTCGTTCAAGGACATACACGGTTTCACCTTCTCATTGCCATGGCTGTTCGCACTCTGACCTCCCATACCTGACTCATTCCCCTGCCCCCTCTTTCCCTCACAGGTGCGGGCCTGGTACATGGACTTATTCAAGGATATCCGGGGCCTCCCTCTCTCCCTCCCTTGGGCCCGCATTACCGCCTTACCTTACTGATTCTGCTTGTTCCTTGCGTGCGTGCGTGCCCTGGCAGGTGCGCGATTGGTACGTGAACTCGTTCAAGGGCATCCTCGTGTTCCTGCTCTCACTCACTCCCTCGTGCCCTGCTCCCCCTCTGTCCTCGCGCATTCTTCTCATCCCCGTGCATGTGTGCGTGCAGGTGCGCGACTGGTACGTGGACTCGTTCAAGGACATCCGTGGGTGCTGTCTCACTCCCTTGGACCCTCTCTACCCACTTCCCTTACTCATTCACCCTGTCCCCATGCATGTGTGCGTGCCCTGACAGGTGCGCGACTGGTACGTGGACTCATTCAAGGACATCCGCGGGTTCCCGGCCATTGAGAGCCGCGAGGAGGAGCTGCGCTTCACGCACCTGCTGGCGCAGGTCAAGATGCGCCACAACAACGTCATCCCCACGGTGCGTGAGAGGGTGCTGGGTTGGGTAGCTGTGGACAGGACAGCACGAGCTGCACCTGGCGCAGGTCAAGATGCGCCACAACAACGTCATCCTCACGGTGCGTCGCTGTGTGTTGGGTTGGGTTGGGTTGGGTTGGAGGGGAAAGGCCATTCCCCTGTGTTGTGGACAGGGCGAGTTGAGCTTCACGCAGCTGCTGGTGCGGGTCAAGATGCGCCACAACAACGTCATCCCCACGGTGCGTGAGAGGGTGCTGGGTTGGGTAGCTGTGGACAGGACAGCACGAGCTGCACCTGGCGCAGGTCAAGATGCGCCACAACAACGTCATCCTCACGGTGCGTCGCTGTGTGTTGGGTTGGGTTGGGTTGGGTTGGAGGGGAAAGGCCATTCCCCTGTGTTGTGGACAGGGCGAGTTGAGCTTCACGCAGCTGCTGGTGCGGGTCAAGATGCGCCACAACAACGTCATCCCCACGGTGCGTGAGAGGGTGCTGGGTTGGGTAGCTGTGGACAGGACAGCACGAGCTGCACCTGGCGCAGGTCAAGATGCGCCACAACAACGTCATCCTCACGGTGCGTCGCTGTGTGTTGGGTTGGGTTGGGTTGGGTTGGAGGGGAAAGGCCATTCCCCTGTGTTGTGGACAGGGCGAGTTGAGCTTCACGCAGCTGCTGGTGCGGGTCAAGATGCGACACAACAACGTCATCCCCACGGTGAGCCATCCCCACGGTGAGCCATCCCCACGGTGAGCCATCCCCACCCTGGATGTAAATACAACTGGGTCGACTCAAAAGCACAATTGTTCCCCTAATGTGAGCTGCTGATGAGGCTGCTTCCAGGAGGACCTTTCATGACTCACCTTTCGGGGGGTCGTAACGACGAGAATGCCATGTGTCAACAGGGCCGTTCCCTCGGTGACCTGGTAGCTTGATGTGTTGTGGTGATGAGCTTGCTCGCATTGTGACGCATCACAAGGTGAGCCTCATTCACCTCCTTGTAATGTGTGTTGCATGGCATGGCTTGGCATGGCATGGCTTGGCATGTCATGGCTTGGCATGGCATGGCATAACGTGCATGGCTCGGCATGGCATGGCGCATCATCGCACACTATGTGATGGCATGGCACACCAGATGGCGATGGGAATCAACGAGTTGAAGCAGGACCTGGGGCGCAAGGGGCGTCTCGACGACCTGCTGGAGATCCACCAGTTCCTCGTACGGCCACCCCTGTCCTCCCTGCCTCCCTCCCTCCCTGCCCTGCCTGCCACCCCTGCCGTCACTGCCTACCCACCCCTGCCACACTGCTCTCATTGCCCACCCATTGTCACCAATGCCCGCACTGCCTTCATGACCCTCACTCTCCTCACTCGCCTTCCCTCATTGCCACCTCTGCCCTCACTCCCCTCATTCTCCGCCTCTCAATGCCCTCCCTGCCTACTCCCCTCACTCTCTTCCCCTCACACCCCTCACACCCCTCACTCCCCTCACTCTCCCCCACTCACTCTGCTGTCACCAACTTGCATCGCACAACCTTTGTTGGAGAGATTCAGTTGTGCCTCGTGCCTGTTAAGCTGTGTAACTGTCACCGCTGTCTGGGAAAGTGTGCTTCGCTGCGCTCTGCTACCCCCCTGGCCCGCTTCCCCGCCCCACACCCCTCCCCACGCTCGTCCCTGCGCCCCTGCCCCTACCCCTACCCACCAGGACCGCTTCTACATGTCACGCATCGGCATGCTCATTGGCCAGCACTGGGAAGGCTGCATGGGCGCGTCTCTCATTGCTGCATGTTCATCTCTCTGTCTCATGCGCCCCTCTCCCTGCCCACTCCCCCCTCCCTACTTCCCCGGCCCACGCCCACCACGATCGGTTCTACATGTCACGCATCGGCATCCGCATGCTCATCGGCCAGCATGTCTGGGCCAAGACTCTCTCTGCTGCTGCTAGTGCTGTAATCTGCTCTCTGTCCCTTCCCCACACCCCTCCCCCTGCCGCTCCTCCCTGCCACCCCGCCCATCAGGACCGATTCTACATGTCACGCATCGGCATCCGCATGCTCATTGGCCAGCACGTCGCCCTGCACGACCCCAACCCGCCCCCCCACTTCATTGGGTGCGCCTCTCTCCCCCCACTTCATTGCGGCTCTCTCTCTCTCTCTTCCACCGCATGCACTGGACCGCATGCACTGGACCGCATGCACTGGACCGCATGCACTGGACCGCATGCACTGGACCGCATGCACTGGACCGCATGCACTGGACCGCATGCACTGGACCGCATGCATTGGACCGCATGCACTGGACCGCATGCACTAGTAACCCCAGTGGGTGCAGCCCGGCATGCAGCAAGTGCCTGTTGCCATCACATCTGTCGCATTATTAACGCCTAGCCAGCAGGCTCAGGCGTGAATTACACAGCAGCCAGGTAATTGTGCATTTCTGGACTTGTACTCTAATTTCTTTTGTGTGCGTGGTATGTACTGTACATACGCTTTACAGAGCCGAGTGCAGGGAAATTCGAGGAGGTTGATACAGAAGAGGGAATTCGGTTCCAGCTGGGAATTCGATTCCAGGTTGGGAATGCAATTCCAGCTGGGAATGCGATTCCAGGCTAGGAACTCGATTCCAGCTGGATTGTAGTGCATGCCTAGTGGGCCCGGTGGAGCTAGCTAGCACCTAGGAGCCATCACGAGCAGTGCAGCTGACTCACGTCTGGCACTAGAGTTAGCGTGCTGCAGGAGGAACCTAAGCAGGAGGAGGAGGGAATGTAGTCGGGGGGAGCACTCAGGTCTCTCGCTTTTTGCTTGTATGTTTCTCTTTTTACTGCAATCTTGTTTTCCTAAGCCAAAGGAAGCTAGCAGTAGGGAGAAGCAGGAGCAATCTGATGGAGCCCTTGCGAGGGGGTTTAGACTTGTTCATACAAGCAAAAAGTTGCAGTGCTGAAATTTCAGCAGAACAGGTACGAACGCCTGGAGGACCTGCGATGACGCACCGTAAGGGATGAGCGGCCTTGATCAAGAATTACATACTCATCAGCAGCGTTCAGGTCACAGATTTCCTGCGCGGAGGATGGAGGGGCAAGCCCTGCCGACTAAGACGCCTGGGTTCCGAGCAGAAGAAGGAACAGCGAACGCTAGTGGTAATAGCAGCGCGGATCCAGGAAAGGAGGGCGACCGACAAGAAGAGCCTCCACTGGGCTCTAACTGCAATTCGCCAGCGCCAGGGATGGGATCCCAATCAGCCAGGGTTGGAGGATCTCAGCGTGGAACCCCAGAACCGAGAGTGGGAGACCATCAGGAAGATCAGCGGAGCCAGCGAGAAGGAGAGGCGTTTCACGAATTCTCTGCTGGAAGACGCGAATCCAGGGAGGCCGGTAGAGGAGATCAGCATGTGGGGATTGGCGAGAGGGGAACGGCGAGCTGGGGAACGGTCAGAACGACAAGTGCAGCTCCACCTAAGATTGAAGTGCTGGATCGCTTCTCAGGAGCACCTGGAGAGGAGCCCACGCTGAAGAATTATCTTATGATGGTGGATGACATCCGATACTGCTGGGAGAGGGAGGGGCACGATCCCATTGAATTCTTCTGAGGATTGGGGAGAACGCTCAAGGGGGAAGCGTTGACGCATTACCGGGTGGAGAGACAAGGGTTGTTGCTGCAGAGTAAGCGGGGAGACTTCGCGCCGGCGGAAATCACCGACCGATTCCTGGAAAGCCTGCGAGAACAATGCCCGGGACATTCAGCAGATCGGATGACAGAGTTCCAAGATTTTAAGAGAGCGAGAGGAGAATCTCTGCTAGCGTATTATAATCGACTGATGGAGCTGGCCGAAGACATGGGCTGCCTGGAAGAACGGACCTTGGTGTCGAAGTTTGTGGGTGGATTGGATGAAGACCTGATGCAAGATATGCGGAGCCGACTGTACGCGCTGGGGATGAAGGCGAAATTGCGACAAGTGTATCAGGTGGCGAAAGAGGTAGAGGAGGGAAGAAGGTTCTTCGATGGGTTACGCGGAGCGAGCTCAGGAAGATCAGGCGAACGCAGGAGGCCGGCGTGGGCTGCGGTGGAAGGAAAGCGGATGGAAGAAGAACGGAGAGAAAAACCATTTGAAGACAAGTGACGATGTCACAAGTGCGGGGAACACGGGCATCTGCGAAAGGATTGCGCCATCGACATCATATGCGACATCTGCAAAGAGAAAGGGCATTTCAGGCGGAATTGTCCCAAGGCGCCGATTTGCACCTTCTGTAGGAAACGGGGACACACGGAAGAAAGGTGCTACAGCAAGAAGGAGAAGGGGGGAGAAAAATCCGCTAGAGAACAGTAGCAGTTGGAGAGGGAGTTAGCAAAGCTGAAGGCGCAGATGGGTAAGGTGGAGATCAGCGAAGACCCGGAGAAAGCGCTACTAGCTTGGGAAGACGAGGAAGAGGAAGATTACGGGGAGGAAGAAGCTGAGTATGGGACAATGGCCATGTCACCCAGGGACCGAGAAAGTTTGGGGTTGAGAAGTGGAGGGAAGGACGGTAGAGCGGAGCCGAAGCAGCCAATGAGAAGGACTTCAAAAGTACCTGAGGGGACTAACAAGCCGAAGGCAGCTCGGTGACACCCTGAAGAGCAACTGGTCTGCCAGCCCACGGCTCTGGTGGTGGAACCGAAGTCTGTAGCAGTACGAGGGATTCTGGTAGAAAATGCCGTGGTGGATACAGGCGCGCAGTGCGTTGCTGGGAAGAAAGCTGACCGAGCAGCTAAAGGCGCAAGGAGGTTGGGAAACAGTGAGACGGTGAATACTGATCATGACCGCAGAGGGAGGGGCTCCCAAGTGGATGCCATGCACTAAGGATCTGATTGAGATCACGCTGCAGCCGGGGGGGGAGGGAGAGACAACGATAAGGGTGCAGTGCGGACTGACGGAATCAGACGACTACGACATTTTACTGGGAATGGAGTTGCTCTACAAGATAGGGACTACGATATGCACCTGGCAGGAGCAAGTGCTATACAGTTCGGATTTCTGGGAGGAAGGAAAGGAGCCGAGTGAGCTGCCAGTGCGTTTCATCAAGACTGAACCAAAGAAAGCCTGGAGGGCAGGAGGCATGGGGAGGGGAGGAAGTACAAGTGGTGGGAAGATCATGGAAATCCAGCCGGGGGCAAGCATAGACCAGTACAATGTCACACTGGTGGAGCTGTTCGGGGGGCTGGGAGCCGGTTTAGCAGCAGCACTAGAGGCCGATCTGAGGGTGAAGAGGTGGTTCTATGTGGAGGTGGATCCTGCAGTCTGGAGGATGGCCTGGAAACACGCACAGGTATTGCAGCAGCGGTACCCCGCCCAGCTGAGGAAAGATGTGGTGAAGGAGGCCATGCAGAACAAGAACTGGGACGTGAAGCAGATTACCAAAGAAGACGTAAAGAATTGGGGAAAAGTGGACCTGCTAGTGGCCGGCTGGGAGTGCCAGGGTACCTCGAGGGCAGGGAAGGGGAAGGGATTGCAAGATGAGCGCAGAGGGTTAGTGACCACGCTACTGGAAATCATGAGGTGGATGAAGGAGGTAGGAAGAGAGTACGCTTACATTCTAGAGCACGTGGATATGAATGGTGACGCTAGGGAGCCGGTCCGAGAAGTGCGGGAGCTGGTGGAAGCAGAATTGGGAAAGGGAGTTAGATGTGACGGGGCGCAGCTGGGGGCACTAACGCATCGGGTGCGGCGCTTCTGGCAAAATGTCCTACTTGAAGGGGAGCCTCGGGCTCGGTTGGCAAAAGTAGAAAGAGATGGGACTAGGATTGTGGAGGACATCCTCGAACCAGGGAGGGTAGCTGCGCTAGTGGTCAAACTAGATCACCCCCTGCAGTACCAGTGCAACCGAGTAGGGGAAGCGCGAAGAGCCTGGCCGACGTTAGTGGCTTATGCGAAAGCACGAGGCTTTATTGAGCAGGACGGGAACCCCGGCCCAGGGATGGTGTATGATCACCGTAAAGGGAAGTGGGAAGAGCCAACCGCCTTGGAACGCGAGCTAGCTATGGGGTACTTTCCAGGAGCCACTGCAGCAGAGGGAGTGGGGGAAGAGACCCGTCGAGCAGCTTTGGGCAGGGCGATTGATCAAGATTCTCTGAGGGGTCGCCTGGTACACGCGGAGGGAAGGAGAGTAAGCTCATCACATACGCCAGGAGGAACAAGGGTTAGGGAGGGTCACCTGCTGGAAGAAAGGGGACAGAAAAGTGAGAAGGGTGGAGGAGAGTAAAGGGAGGGAAGGCTTCAATGAGAAGGGAGGCTCAGCGGGACTTGCATCACGACACATCCCCCCAGCCTCATGTTCCCCCCAGTGGATGTGGCGGCATGCAATGCAACGCAGCACAGATCCATGCTCTCATCTCCTCCCCTCTCTTCCTGTCTTTCTCACTTCCCCAGTTCCCTCCCCCTCCACCTCCTCACTCCTCCTCTCAACTCTCCCCTCAGTTGTTCCTAGCCTCATCTGAACCAAGGCGTTCCCAGTGGATGTGTCATGCAACGCGCAGCAGGATCCACACTCTTACCCCATCCCTGCACAGCCTGTCTACACCTTCCCCTCCTTCCATCCCCTCTCCTTTCCCCCGGATTCTCACACCCTCACCTCCTCCCCCACTTCCCCCATCTCCCACCCTGCTCGCTGCTGCGCCCAGGCTCATCTGCACCAAGGTGTCGCCAGTGGATGTGGCGCGCAATGCAGTCAAGGGGTAACGCACAGCGCACTCTCACCATGCCATTCCCTGCTTGCCCCCTCTGTCCCCCTGCTGCTGCGCCCAGGATTATCAGCACAAGGTGTCTCCAGTGGACATGGCGTGCAATGCAGTGGAAGACACACGGTCTCACCCCATCCCCTGTCAGCCTGACTTCCTGTCTCCTCCACCCCCCCTCCCCCTCCCTTCCCCCCTGTTATCCCCACGCCCAGGCTCATCTGCACCAAGGTGTCGCCAGTGGATGTGGCGCGCAATGCAGTGGAGGGAGGATGCGCGCTCTCATCCATTTCCTCCCCGCTCCCCCCCACTGGCCACTTTCAGCCTCATCTGCACCAAGGTATCGCCAGTGGATGTGGCGCGCAATGCAGTGGATGATGCGCGGTCGGCATGCATGCGCACGTATGGCTCGGCGCCTGAGGTGGAAATTTACGGGGACCCCGACTTCACATTCGCGTGCGTGCACCACCTGCCCACACATCACTCACATGACCCTAAACCCGAAACCTTCAACCCGAAACCCTTTGCATGAATGCTGTACGTACGAGCTCTCTTGCAACCCTATATTATCTGCTACACAAAGATGAAACTTCTTCCACCAAAACTGAGAAAACCCTATGCAACAAAATATCCTCTCCTTGGTCTCATATTCGCTCTGCCATTCTGGTCTCTATGTTCTCCCACCCATCTGAACCCCTCTTTCACCGCACCGCACCGCAGCTACGTGCCAACGTATCTGCTGCACCAGATGGTGTTCGAGCTCTGCAGGAACTCTCTGCACGGCGTGCAGGAGCGACATCCCCTCAATCCCCCCCCTTCCCCCCCTCCATCCCATCTCCTCCCGTCTCACCCATCTGCACCCTTTTGCACCACACTGCACGGCAGTTATGTGCCAGTTCATCTGCACCAGATGGTATTCGAGCTCTGCTAGAAGTCCCTGCATGCCGTGCAGGAGCGACATCCCCTCAATCCCTCCCATCCCGTCTTCTCCCTTCTCAACCATCTGCAACCCATTGCACCGCAGCTACGTGCCAACGCATCTGCACCAGATGGTGTTCGAGCTGTGCAAGAACTCTCTACGCGCCGTGCAGGAGCGATTCGCTGATGCTGACACCGACCCGCCGCCCATCCGTGTGGTGGTGGCGGATGGGATCGAGGATGTGACTATAAAGGTAGGTGGTTGCTGGGGGAACGTGATTATAAGTGGTGGTTGTCGTGTAATGCATATGGGGATTTGTGCTGCCTGTCACGCACGCATCCAACTCCCCCAACCCCCTCCCTTCCTGCCTCCCTCCTCTCCTCATGTCCCAATGACCAATCAAATAAGGAGTCTACAGCTTGACAAGAGGAGAGTTCTGCACTGGACTCTCTCGTGCATCTGAACCCGTCTGAGTCCACATCTCGACATGCCTGCCTGCTGCCTCCCTCTCACCAGCACGCCCTTTTCCCCCTGTGCTGCGCCCCCTCCTCGTTTCCCCGATGCTGTGCTGCGTCCCTCTACCTGCAGATATCAGATGAAGGAGGGGGCATCCCGCACAGTGGCCCACCGCACATCAGGACATACCTCTACAGCACGGCGCGCTTGCCTGCTGCCACCTCTCACTCACCACCATGCCATCTCCCCCCATGCGATGTGTGTCCTCCCCACCCCACCCACCCCTTTCAGATATCAGACGAGGGGGGTGGTATCCCGCGCAGTGGTCTACCGCGCATCTGGACGTATCTCTACAGCACAGCCCGCTCACCTGCTGCTGCTGGCGCTCTGCAGGACACTCCCTCCATCATGTGCGTGCCGGTGGTGGGGTGGTTGGGGGGAGGGAGTGGGGAAATGTTGATGTGTGGAGGGCTGTGTACTATGTACGTCATGAGTGAGAGATGTGGCGCTCTGCAGGACACTCCCTCCGCATGTGCGTGCTGCTGCTGCTGGTGGGGTGCATGCCGGTGCTGGTGGTGGGGTGTGTGGTGTGCGTGTGATGTGTGAGGCATGTGGCGCTCTGCAGGACACGCCCTCCATCATGTGCGTGCTGCTGGTGGGGTGGGCCGGGCTGTGTGGGGTGTGTGGTCGGGTGCTGCTTCTACCAAAATCGTGCCTCCAGAATTCCATGCACTCTCCGACCTTACCGACCGTACATGCACTCTCCACCCTCACCTTCCACACCATCCACACAGCCCATTACCAGGACGTGTGCTTTGCACATATTTGCTTTTGCTTGTTTTGACCGTGACGGTGCTTCGTGTGCTTGTATGGAGCAGGGCGGGCTACGGCTACGGTTTGCCAATCAGTCGGCTGTACGCGCGCTACTTTGGAGGCGACCTGCAGGTGGTGTCAATGGAGGGTTATGGCACAGACGTCTATCTCCACCTCAACCGTCTCGCCAATGTGCAAGAACCGCTGCCTTAATTAAGGTGTGAATGCCTAACGTGTAATATACCCTAATTTTAGAATTGTAGGCTCACCACTCATCCCTTTTGCAACATGGCATTGGGCGAACTGTTACAGAACCAATGTTGACAAAGAATTGCACCATGCAATTAGCCTACTATATAGAACACTTGTTCTGTAAGCGAGTCCCTTGTACAATGGAATTCAGAGTGTTTTGAAAACGAGTCTGGTCAAACGCGGCAGGCCAAAAAGTTCCGGTGATGCTGGACCCAATCCGTGTCGGCGTTACAGGGTCATGCGACGCCGAACTCTTCGTCTGACGTTTACTTACCGTCGCAGTCCTTCCCAGCCAATCGAATTATTTGAAATGCTCCGCGCTTCTCCCCACTGATGCCCACCGCTTGTCGTCGTCTGCTCGTCGCAACAGCAGCGGAGCTGCAGCGAGTCTTCCCTGAACGGTTTCGCACAGCGACGAAGCATCATCTGCGAATCGCACACCGCTGAACATGTCAGTCGTGCAGCACAACACAAGCGCCGTCGCAGTCGCAGCAGTTCAAATGTGGCCAAACGAGCTATTCCAAGCGCGTACGAACTTGGGAAATAGGGGAGGCAATTCGCATATTTTTCACGGCTCCTGCTTCGTCTCGCCAATCCCACATCTGCTGCTGCTCCTTTTCCCCATCTCCTATTTCTTAGCTCGAACCAAAGTTTTCAAATTTGTAAATCTCGCCTCTCGTCAAAGCTAGGGATTTGACATTTGCAACTGGAAGTCGAATGGAGGTCGATTCAAACACAGGCCTCGAGGTTCTAGCACCGTGTTATTACGGGCAATTAGCTACACAAGAGACCACTGAACCGCGAGTAGTAGTAACAGGCCGTAAGCACAAAGCTGCGCGCTCGTCGATTCCTAGTCGCAAGCGGCGCTGCGTGCAGCCTTCCTCCGGCGCGCCTCGCTCTAGCGCGGTCCCCTCCGCGGAATCCCCTTCCACGAGCGACGATCCGCTTGGCGCGGAGCGGCAGTACCGCGGAGTGCGGCAGCGGCGGTGGGGGCGGTGGGTGTCGGAGATCCGCGAGCCGCGGCGGGGTTTGCGCATCTGGCTGGGGTCGCACAGCAGCGCGGAGCAGGCGGCGCGAGTGTACGACGTCGCCGTGCGACTGCTGCGAGGCGACGGCGCGATCCTGAACTTCCCTGACGACCAGCGAGAGGTGAGGCGCGGCGAGGCAGGAGAGGGGAGAAAGACGAGGCGAGTAGAGGTGGCGAGGAGGCGAGTGGTTGAAGGTGAGGCGAGGAGAGAAAAGTCACACTGAGTCAGAGTTTTGAGTCGACTCAAAACTGTTCCCGCTTTGTCTCTCTGTCCCTCCTTTCCCTCTCCCTGACCATGCTCCCCCTGCACACACACACTCATCACGTCTCCCCCTATTCCCCCGCCGTCTCCCCCCATACTGTCCGCAGGTGCTCCTGCCTCCCGCCATCGCGGAGACTCTCATCCACGCCTGCGCGGCCCTCTCCTCCAAGGACTCGCTGCCTGACGCTGACAGCACGGCACCCCTCCGCCCTCTCCTCTCCTCCGCCCACACACGCGTGGCCCCCTCCTCCAGTGACTCGCTGCCACGTGGTGCCACTGCTGAGCCCTGCGCTGCTCTCGCTGCCCCTGGCTCGCTGGCGGAGGAGGGAGTGAGCCTTACTGCTGCTGCTGCTTTAATGGGCACTGGGACGGGCGACAGTGCGGGTAGTGGTGGTGAGGATGAGCAGAGAGGGGAGGTGGAGGGGGAATCGGTAGAGGAGATGGTGGAGGAACAACAGGAGAAGCTGCAACAGCAGGAGCAGGAGGTGTGGGGGGATGAGTTGGAAACGCTACTGGCATGCGAGCAACAGATTAGGCAGCAGGTGGCACAGGAGCAGGCGGAGGGGGAACAGGTGGAGGAAGAGCAGGCGGGGGAAGAGCAGGCAGAGGGGGAGCAGGCGGAAGGGGAGCAGGCGGAGGGGGAGCAGGCGGAAGGGGAGCAGGCGGAGGGGGAGCAGGGGGAAGGGGAGCAGGCGGAGGGGGAGCAGGCGAAAGAGGAGCAGGTGGTGGAGGAGCAGGCGGAGGGGGAGCAGCAGGGAGGGGAGCAGGAGTGGCAGGTTGATTGGTTGCTGGCATGCGAGCAGCTGCCACTGGACGAGTTCACTGTGTGTGATTCTGAGCCTGAGGGTGCTCTGCTCGCTCGTGCCCCGCTTGCTGCTCATACACTGTGTGGCGATTCGGGCACAACTGTGAGTGAGGCGGTGGTTGGGGTTGGGGAGGAGAGCGGACGAGGAGGGGCAGCGATGGGAGTGAAAGGGCATGTTGGAGCCGCCCCCCTTCCCATGCAACCCAGCCAGCCAAACAACTGCACCGCCACCACCACCACCACCACCAGCACCAGCACCAGCACCAGCACTGCTACCAGCACCAGCGCCACCACCACCACTACCAGCAGCATGGACATGACGAGCAGCAGCGGCCACAGCGACAGTGACTGGCTGTCGTCCCTGCCGCCACACTCTCCCTCATCCTCCCTCCCCTCGCCTGCCCTCACCAACACCTCCCCGCCCCCTCTCACTTTCTCCCCCCCTCACACTCCCTCACCTGCCCTCGCTACCCCTCTCCCTCTCACTCTCTCGCATCCTCCCAGTGCATCACCACCATCCTCCCCGTCCTCCTCTCCGTGCTCCTCCCCCTCCTCCCTCTCCTCTCCCACTTCCACACTGCCTCCCCCATGCGTATCCTTGCACACGCCACCACCACCCACACAGCACCTGGGGCACTGTGAGGCCCGCTCGCCCACTGCTCCCCTGCTGCCTGCCCCCTGCGCTGCAGACCATGCCCTGATCACCAGTCCTGCTGCTTCTCCTACCGCTCCTCTTCCTCCTCCTCCTCTTCTTATCGCCACTCCTCCTGCAGCCGCTGCGGCTATTGCTGCTGCTGTGCCACCACCACCGGCGGCACCCGAGCCTGCACAGTACAGGCCACCTTTCTCCCCTCCCCCCGACCGCCCGCGCCCCCCCCTCTCTCCCATCCAACTACCAACCCTCATCAACCACAACAACCACAAGCCAAACAGCAGAGGGAACAGCAGCAGCATCTACAGCGGCGAGATGACCCCCACACTAACGGTGCAAGCCATGGCGCATCTCATCTCGCCTCTCCCCCTCCTCCACCTCCCCCTCCCCCCTCTTAACTCCCCTTCCCCCCTGCCCTCCCCCGCCCTCGCCCGCTCCCTCCTGCTGCACTTCAGCACTGCCATCGCCTGCCGCCGTGCCCCCGCCCCTCCCGCCCCGCTCTCCCTCCCCCTCCACGCACTCCTCTCCCCATCGTGATTCAAGGCCGGTTGTTTACTGCAGCAGGCAAGGAGTGGTGGCTTGAGCGAGCAGAGCAGAGTAGCATATCCAAGAAGACCAAGCCATGACGGGGTGCATGCATCCATACTGTCTTGCTCCATCCCATGCCATGTTATTCCTGCTGCTGAGCATGGATCACAGAGTCGACACAACAACTCCCCTTCATTTATACGTGGTGCTCGTCTCAGAAGTGAAGGCGTACATACCGGTATTCGACCTTGGCTAATTCGGACTGGCGGATTTGGCCTTGCTGATTGGTCAGAAGCACAACTTGCTGCTGTGGGAAATGTAGTGTATGACGCTATAGTGCTAGTTGTGCTTCTGGCCATGAAGGAGAATTGTATAGCGAACCTGTTGAATATATTGGTACGGTACATACAAATTTGTTTGTTCTGTTATGTTTGCTTTATAATCTGGTGTTATGAATGAACTTGCAGAGTGCACAGAATAACGACTATCGAGAATGATTGATTACAAAATGACAAGGAAAGTGTCGAGACTAAATAGGGGAAACGCTAGCTAGGCGGGGAGGTCGGGCGAGGATGGTTCGGTGATGTCGCGTTTGGTGCGGAGGCGACCGGGGGGTGGTTCGGTGCTTCGAAATAGGCCCAGCAGGTTCGTCGCGTGACCCTCGGGATGACCTCGCTAATGAGTGCCTCATTAATGATTTGTAGATCCTTACACCTGGCCTTGTACATGTTTGCTTTGTAACCAGTTCCCATGTGCCCTCGCGATATTTTCCATCCACTTTTCGCGTAACACGTGGCCTGACGTGCCCTGGACCTTTCTGCGCTGGACCTCCGGTAATCTTTTTTACGCGATATCACCATCTTCGCGAGAAACGTGATCAATATCATTCTTTTCCCACATCACCCCGTCTCCCTCCTATTCTCATACACGCTATTCTCATCTCACACCCTCCCTCGTTCAACGCTTCCTCCATTCTGCTGCTATTGTTGCTCGCATCGCAACGACTGCTGCCGTGTCCAACTCACGCGACCCGGAGGTCTATGCGCCTTCGAGTCGCGCTTTCCAGCCTACCGATCTTCCGCATTCGAGTCCCCACCATGGCTGACGTCATAAGGGGGCTCAGCAGACCGCTCGGCGCGCAGCAGCAAGCAGCGGCACTCGCGCCGGCACGCGCGGCTCCATCGGCCGCCCCTACGCGGACCGCTCAGTCGCTGTCATTTCCCACTGGCCTCGCCTTGCCTCTCCTTGCTCGAGCCGCTCTCCCGTTAGCGTCGCGACTCTCCTTTGCTGCTGCCCCCGCCGCCATCACTCCCGCCGGCTGCTTTCCCCGCTGCCGATCCGCCCCTCACGCGCGCACAGGCTTTATCCGCGACCCTTCGTTTCCCGCGGAGTGCTCCAGGCGGCGCACACGTGCTTTGCTCTCCGCGTTCCGCCCGCGCGGAGAATGCCGCGCGCAGGCGCACGATAGCGCGGCTTCTATGCCGACTCCAGAGAGTCCCGCGGCAGCTCCCGCGGGGGAAGGCTCCGCGGAGCGCAGGGATGGCGGAGCGGCGGAAGCGGCGGACGGCGCGGGGAGCGCGCAAGGGGAGCCGTTTTTGGTGCTCAACTTTTACCACTTTGCTGACGTGGAGGATGCCCATGGTGACGTGGAGCGGCACCGTGCGTTCCTACAGGTGCGGATTGAGAATGCGGTGTAGTGGGGAAGGCAATGAGCTGGTTGACGTCCTCGTCCACGTCAACGTTAACGTTAACGTCAATGTCAAGGTGTAGCACTGCAGTGGCCAATGTGGTGTGCCCACCTCAGCGCCTCGCTAGTCACACTGCGTTAGCGCTGGTCCTTGCACTCTCTCCCCTCCCTCCCTTCACTCTGTCCCTTCCCTTCCTGCCTGCCTACCGATCTCTCCTCTTGCATTCCCGCCCGTGTGCCTCCATGTGTGTGTGTCTCAGGAGCGGGACATCCGAGGCCGGATATACATCAGCCACCAGGGCATCAACGCTCAGGTGAGTCACTTGGGGCAGGCAGGCAGGAGCGGGTGAGGCAGGCAGGAGCGGGTGAGGCAGGCAGGAGCGGGTGAGGCATGGGGCATGGGAGGTGGTGGTGCAGGGGACAGGAGCATGGGTGTTGGTGGTGCAGATGTGGGAGTGACGTGGCATGGCCCAACGGTGCGGTGCAGCATGCATGGGTCAAGAAGACTCGGAGCTCAGGATACAAGATTCATGGCTCATGGTTCAAGCTTCAAGCTTCAGGGTTTAAGATTCAAGGTTCAGGGTTTAAGATTCAGGGCGCAGGGAAAGATCAATACGGCTCTACACAATTTTCATCAAAGAGTGAAGTCCCGTGTGTTCGCATTGTTCTTCTCCAGCACCGCACTGTACCGTTCAGCTTTTCAACTCGCGAGAATGTAGCCTTTGAGAAGGGGAAAGGCAAGAGGATGTGGGCGAGGGCAAGAGCGAGAACTAGTGGGAGAGAGAGGGAGAGCGAGAGGGAGAGCGAGGGGGAGAGCGAGAGGGAGAGCGAGAGGGAGAGTTCTTGCCTGTCATTGCACTCTACACGAGCCTGTGCCATCCATGTTCCAACTCACCGCATCGCATCATCTCATCTCAGCAGTCCGGCCTCGCGCACTTGTCAGTCTCCCGTTCCCCTCTCTGTCGTCTCTCGCAGCTCAGCGTGCCAGCCTCACACGTGATGGATGGAGTGCGCCGAGTGGGTGTGCTGTGACGAGCGCTTTGCCCCTATCTGCGCCCACACCCTCCTGTTACTCTCCGCATTCCCTCCTCACACACCTCTCCTTCCGCGCAGCTCAGCGGGCCGGCCTCTCACGTGATGGAGTATGCCGAGTGGGTGCGCAGCGACCAGCGCTTCACCGGGGTGCCGCTGCAGCTGTCGCCCTCCCCCATCGGCCACGCCTTCCCACGCCGCCGCCTGCGCTACAAGCCCGCCCTCGTGCAGGTGGGCTGTCCTGCCAGCACTACACTGTACCTTTTCCTGAGCACAGGGACAGCTGTCGACCTCTCCTGTGGGCCACGCCTTCCCGCGCCTCCGCCTGCGCTACAAGCCGGCGCTCGTGCAGGTGAGTGGTCGTGGCTGCACCACACTGTACCTTCCGTTGTGCAGGTGAGTGGTCGTGGCTGCACCACACTGTACCCTCCGTTGTGCAGGTGAGTGGTCGTGGCTGCACCACACTGTACCTTCCGTTGTGCAGGTGAGTGGTCGTGGCTGCACCACACTGTACCTTCCGTTGTGCAGGTGAGTGGTCGTGGCCGCACCACACTGTACCTTCCGTTGTGCAGGTGAGTGGTCGTGGCTGCACCACACTGGACCTTCCGTTGTGCAGGTGAGATGCCTGCATGCCCGCCCTCCTGCAGGTGACTGTACCTTGTGGTGTGCACGTGAGGTAGCTTGCTTCGCCACGCCCTCATGCCATGCCTCCTCCTCCATGCAACTGTGGCCTCTCCACTCCCCCTGGCCTCTATCCCCACGCGCCTCGCTCTCCTCCCCCACCATCATGTCACGGGAGGTATGGAGCAACTCCCCGGAAGTATGGAGCAACTCCCCGGAAGTATGCAGCAACTCCCCGGAAGTATGGAGCAACTCCCCGGAAGTATGGAGCAACTCCCCGGGCTCCCTCACAGAGGTATGGAGCAACTGTCGGGCGACCTGTGTGCCGCGAGGCCCGTGTCTCACGCTCGCCGCACATCCTCCTCTCCCCCCCCCCCGTGCTTCCGCACCCTCCCCCGTGCCCCACCATCAGCTGTCTGCGGACCTGTGTGCCGCCACGCCTCTGTCCCAGGATCGCCACGCATCCCACCCTCCCATGTTTCCGGCCCCCCACCTCTCTGTGCGCCCCCTCCATCAGGTGGCAGGCGGCATGGAGCAGCTCTCGGCGGACCTCTGTGCCGCCACGCCCCTGTTGCCCGCTCGCCCACACACTCTCCCCCCCCCCCCCGTGCTTCCCCCCTTCCCCCCATGACTTTCCCCCATCAGGTGGCAGGAGGCATGGAGCAGCTGTCTGCAGACCTGTGTGCCGCCACGCCCCTGTCGCCCGCTGAATGGCGCAGCAAGATCGACCAGATGCAGCGGGGGGAGGGTGAGGGGGGTGGGGAGGCGGACAGGGAAAGGCGGCAAGGGGAGGACAATAAGGGGCGTGGGGAGGAGGCAGTTGCGCGCACCAAGAAGATAATGCTGCTGGACGTGCGCAATGGTGGGTGCTTTGTGTTCAGGCATGCTGGATGTGCCGTGCGCAATGGTGGGTGCTTGCTGGTAGGCACGCTGCTGTCTGTTTGAAGTGGTGAGTTTGCCCAACGATGTGTAAAACAGTGGTTGCTGTCTGTGTGCGGCAAGCGGTGCTGTCCTCACACACATTGCAGACTTTTCCCATGTCCCCCTCCCCCTCTCCCCCTCCCCTCCTCCCTTCCCCCTACCTAAGTTGGAATATACGCTACTTTCATTTTGTGTTTTGCGTTTATACGCTTGTCGAATTCGTACGTTGCGTATAGTTTGAAAATTCGCCGAGTTGAATTTCGGGCAGACCGAAAAAAAAAATCAATCTGAAGCTCGCGACGTGGCGATCTGAATTCCGAGTCGCAGATGTCGCGAAATGAACTCAAAAATTGAATTTCGAGCACCAAACCTCATCAACCCCTCCCCTCAAACGTTTCACACCCCTTTGAACCACAGCATTCCACCATCCCCTCCAAGTGCTACTTTACTGGTTGGGAGCTCAACCCAACCCAATCTCCCAGGCATAAAGAGAGGCGTTTGTTCCCTCGACATTTATTCTCTCGCTTCCTATTCTAGCTATCTCCTTTCCCAAGCCACCATGGCTTCCACTCCTACAGCAACCACTTCTCGTACGCCACCCTCAGAGTCTCGTGGTAGTTCCGCTGGTGGGACCTCTTCTAGTACGTCTTTGGTCTGCATGGACAGCAAGCACGCAGTCTACCGTCACTTCAAGGTGCCGGCCAATAGCGTTGGCGAGAACGGCACCAAGGTGTGTGCCTACTGCAACTTCACGTTTGTTGGCGGGGTTCACCGTTGCGCGCAGCATATCACCAGCTGGAACGGCATGCGCCGTCGCGAAGTGCATCTCTGCACTGCAGCGCCGAAGACTGCACGTGACGCCGTGAAGGCGCTTTACGAGTCCAAGTTGAAGGCCCGTGAAGCGAAGCGTGTGGCTGAAATTGCGGCGGTCGGCGCAGTCAACGGCAGAGGTTCGGACAAGAAGAAGAGTCGGATGACCGACTTCTACGGCGACGACGCCGCGTGCGCGAACCAAGTTGCGGACGAGGCCATAAGCCTCTTCTTTGCCGCTCTTCATGTGCCGGAGCATCACGCGGACCACCCACTGTGGCGGAATGTGGTCTCCAGCATCCAGCGCGCGGGGCCGAATTACGTCGCGCCGAAGAGACGCTACATCGGTGGCGCCGGTCTTGCAAAGTGTCGCCAACGCATTGAGGCGGCGCTCGCTCCTATCTCAGCAAGCTGGCGCCGTGACGGTGTCACCGTGGCAAGCGACATGTTCTCCGACAAGGCCGGCCGCCCGCAAGCCAACGTGCTCCTCATCAACGATAGCGGTGCAGTGTTTGTGGAGTCGATCGACACGAAGATGGAGATGAAGACCGGGGGCTACATCGCGTGCATCTTGCGGCCCATCATCGAAAAGGTCGGCCCCGAGAATGTCGTCGCCTTGTGTTTTGACGGCGGCTCCAACTACGCGGCGGCATGCAGGGTGTTGATGCGCGAGTATCCCCACATTGAACACATCCCTTGCGCGACCCATGTCCTCGATCTCCTGATGGAGGACATCGGGAAAAAGGGATGGGCGAAGGACATCGTCACGCACGGGGACACCCTCATCTCGTTCGTCCGCAACCATCACTTCACCCGAGGATACGTGCGGAGTCCGCTCGTGAACGGCGGCAAGGGGAAACAGGTTCTCAAGCCCGCGGGAACCCGATTCGGCACCAACTACATCGCCATCAACCGCCTCTGTGAAGTGCGCGCCAGCCTGACACAGATGGTCCTCAGCGATGAGTGGGTCGAGTGGACTGCGGCTGCAGACAGGGCTGGGGCAGACACATTCAAAGACAACATCCTCGATGCCGCGTGGTGGACGCGCGCCGAGTTCTTCGCTAAGCTGATGAGGCTGCCATTCGTCGTCATGCGCAAGACTGACTCGGATTCGAAGGGCATGATGGGTCGTCTCTACGACCTCATGCTCCAGCTCACCGAGGACATCCGCGACTTCCTCGACGAGCATGCGGAAGGGGTCCTGACAAGCGACGAGGTGGGGGATATTCGGGAGATCGTGCAGGACCGCTGGGACAACGGGCTGGCGTGCAACCTGCACGTGATTGGCCGCATCCTCTACCCCACCAACCAGGAAGAGTGCATTTTCCGCACCGACCTGGAGTGCACGAGGGTCTTCAAGCAGTACGTCTCCAAGCACCATGGTGACAAGACGGTCACCAGGAAGGATGGGGTCGAGCGCCGCGCCTCTCTCGTCATCCAGGAAGGCCTCAATGCCTTCCTGAACCTCCAAGGCAGCTTCGGCATGCTCGACGCTATTGCCGACCGCCAGGCAGTGAAGGAGGGCAAGATGACGGCGGTGGACTGATGGACATGGCACGGGACCGATCATCCTGAGCTCACCACCATGGCTTGCCGCGCCATCACGCAGCCGGTGTCCGCGTCTCCATGTGAGCGTAACTGGGCGAAGTTTGATGCAGTGCATACGGCAAGGAGGAACCGCCTCGGCGCGGTGAAGCTTCGTGACCTGGTGTATGTGACGCACAATTGGCAGGTGGTGCACAACTAGCACAAGGCCCCTGAAGGGCTGGGGGTGGTGAAGGGAAACATCGAGGACCCCCCCACTCCGGCTGGCTATAACGTCCCGGAGGAGGTGGAGGAACCTGAGGAGGGGGAGGATGATGTGATGGCAGATGAGTACTAGTGGATGGAAGACTCCATGCATGAGCGGCAGGCGGGGGATGGAGGGTGGACCTGAGTAGAGTAGGGGATGGGGGGGTAGTAGCATGATTAAGGTGGGTGAAGTTGTAGCGGCAGATTAGTTTTAAGGGTTTTTTTCCCTGTAACTTTCATATTAATACAAAGGGGATGGGGGTTACAACACCCCCCCATCCCCACCTCTTACCCCAAAAATCTGCCCAGGGAAAACTTTTTTCCTGCCCGGGCAAGCGGATTCTTGTGCGTACCAGACCCCTCAGGGACTGCGGTTTGCGTATATACTCTAGCGTTTATACAGCAAGCGTACAAAACGCTAAACGCGTATATTCCAACTTAGCCCCCTACCAGGCTACGATTGGGACGTGGGCCTTTGTGCGTGGGCTGTGAACCCTCGGGGTTGACAACGTGAGGAGGGCCTCTGTGTCGATGGCATGGCATGAGACACCTTCAGAAACACACCGTCCTTCCCCTTACTCTCTCTCCCCCTCTTACGCCAAACCCCCTCTCTAGGCTACGAGTGGGACGTGGGCCATTTTGCCGGGGCTGTGCGCCCTTTTGAGTCGACTCAAAAGTCCCTCCAGTCGACAACTTCACACACTGCAGACCTTCCTCATCTCTCCTTCTCTCGCTCGCTCTCCCCATCCCTCTCCCCCTCTCCCCCGCTTCTCCCACCAGGCTACGAGTGGGACGTGGGCCATTTTGCCGGGGCTGTGCGCCCTCCGGTTGACAACTTCCGATCCACTGAGTTCGGCCTGCAGGAGGTGAGGGCTGGGCGGCAAGAGGTGAGGGTTGGGCGGCAAGAGATGAACGTTGGGCGGCGAGAGGGTGGGAAGGTTGTTGTGGTGAGTGTGTGGAGGTGAGGAGGTCGCGAGATTCAGCAGACGAGGTAGGATGAACAAGGGTCGCACAAGTCAAACCTCGCCTGGGAGAGGGGTGGTTTTGTTGCACCGTGTGTGCTCGCTTGACTCAACAACCCTCTCCTGCCTGCCAACCATCTCCCCGCACACTCGTTTCCAGGAACACACTGAAGCCACCACAGCAGAGCAGCAGCAGCAGCTTCAGCAGCAACAACAGCAGGAGGAAGAGGAGGCAGGGAGGCAGGAGGAGGGTGCATACGACCCGCTATCAGAAGCAGACAAGGAGGAGACAGAGGTGCTCATGTACTGCACGGGGGGCATCCGCTGTGACGTGTACTCCGCACTGCTCAGACAGCAGGGCTTTAAACGTCTCTACACCCTTGAGGGCGGCGTCGCCCGGTACATGCGCGAGCAGGGCGGCGACCACTGGAACGGGCGGCTTTTTGTGTTTGACTCGCGGCTGGCTGTGCCGCCCAGGGATTACCAGGTCGGGGGGAAGGTGTTGCGGGCTGCGGAGGAGGAGGGGGTGGAGAGGGTTGGGGAGGTGCTGGGTGAGGTGTTGGGGGGGATGATGGGGGCGGTGGAAGGGGAGGAGGAGGAGAGTGTGGGGTGTCAGAGGTGTGGAGGGCGGTTGGAGGAGGTGAAGCATCGCAACTGCGCCAACTCGGACTGCAACGCCCTCATTCTGTAAGTTTCGATCAAATCTCATTTGGAAAGATGATGTGAGGGGGATGGCCTGAGGAGGATTGGTGTGAGGGGCTTGGTGTGAGGGGGATAGTGTGAGGGGAATGGTGTGAGGCTGAGTCAAAACCTGACTGCCCTTATGCTTCACATTTAATCGCCCTGGCCCCTTTGCTCCCCCTCCACCCCCAGAGTCTGCTGCTCGCTCAAGCCACGAGGGGTGCGCTCAAGCCCCCAGAGTCTGGGGGCACCGAGTGCTCTACTGCTCATTATCTCACCTCACTTCTCCTTGTCTCTCCCCACCCTCCCTTTCCCCCCCCACTCTATCCCTCAGAGTCTACTTCGCATGTTTCCAAGCCTTTAAGAGTGCCTGCAGCACCAACGGCGCTGCTGCCCCCTGCCTGCTCCCCTTCCTCGCCTGCCCCAGCGGTTGCACCCTGCCCTGCCCTCTTCGCCCCCCATTGCCAACCCCCCTGCTCTCCCCATGCCCCTATTTCCCCCGCGGAGTCTGCTCCGCATGTGCTCAAGCCATGAATGGCGCCTGCAGCTCAGATTGCTGAATTATTAATTTACTAGAAAGTTATCACACCTCACTGCTCCTCTGCCCTCCCATCCTCCCCTCTCTATTCCTCAGAGTCTGCTCCGCATGTGCTCAAGCCATGAATGGCGCCTGCAGCACCGAGTGCGCCGCTGCCCCTCGCCTACACCCCTTCCTCGCCCGCCCCGAGCCCTACCAGCGTCTGCACACCTACCTGCCCTCTGTCTGCATCCCTCTCCTCGCCCTCCTCTCACCCTCCCCTTGCCCTCCCCTGCCCTCCTCCTATCCTCTCCCCCCCATCAGGTTCTGCTCCACGTGTGCCCAAGCTATGAATGGCGCCTGCAGCACAGAGTGTGCTGCTGCTCCTCGCCTGCGCCCCTTCCTCGCCCGCCCAGAGCCCTACCAGCGACTGCACACCTACCTGCCCACCGCCCCCCCTCCTCGCCTCCCGGGGTACGTGTCCCGCCGCGCCCTCAAGCGAAGAGCGCGTAAGGCCAGACGCCTTGCAGCAGCGGAGGGGGGTGAGGGGCAGGGGGCAGGAGAGGGAAGGGAGGAGGGTCAAGAGATGGGTCGGGGCCAGGAGGTGGAGGTAGCTGCTTAATTCCCCTGCGGGCTTACAGGGCTCCATGTCCTACGTGCCCCGTGGTTCACTCTCGAGGAGAGCTCGCAAAGCTCGACGCCTTGCTGCTGCAGAGGCGGGTGCGGGGCTGGGGGTGGGTGAGGGGAGGGAGGTGGATCAAGAGATGGGTCGGGGGCACTGCTTAGTTTTGCGATGGGCTTGTCGGGCTCCATGCCCCCCCCCTCGCCCGCTGACGTACGTGTCTCGCTGCGCACTCAAGTACTGCGCTTGCAAGGCCCGGCGACTTGATGCTGCAGAGGCGGGCGAGGGGCAGAAGGTGAACGAGGGGCAGAGGGCGGGCGAGGGGCAGAGGGCGGGTGAAGGGCAGAGGGTGGATGAGGTGGGTGAGAGGAGGGATATATGCAAAAGTCAAATAGAATCACAACAAAAATCTTCATGGTTAGGAGTGGAAGTTTTGTGACATCGACAGGTGACATGACCACATAATGGGGAAGCTTACCGGTATGTGAAAACATAGTGTCTGATTGAGAAATTAGGAAACCTAATTGGTGATTAATGGAGCTTTCTCTATCCTGGAAATGCTAGACTGTTCTGGTGTACTTGATGCCTTTCACGTTACGCTGAACATCCATAATGTGGTCTGATTAATTTCCGATATGACGTGGAATCCGCTAATGAGCTCGTGTGGTGTACGCAGTGTTTCAAAATATTGCATCGCGAGAAAAAAAAGGGAAACTATATTCCAGATCTATACTTTCAGATTTCTCCCAAATTTAGCCCCAGTTTCACTCAAAAAGTACCACTTTCTAGAATTTTGCTCACGCGAGGCCCAAAGTATGTTCAAAACTGGTCCTGCGGGGCGAAATTTTCGACACGTGTCCAAATTCGCTTGGAAAGCTTTTCGACGGGGCAAAAAATAATAAAACCCCTCCGGAACTAGGGCACATTTGTGGGAGGGATCAACCCCAAACACCAAGCGGGTCCCCGTGTTTAGGGTTGGTCCCTCCCGAACGTGTGTCCTGGTTCCCCTAAGGGTTTTATGTTTTTTGCCCCCGTCAGAAATTGCTAATACGAAAAAGGACACGTGCCGAAAATTTTGCCCCGCAGGACCAGTTTTGAACATAATCTGGGCCTCGCGTGAGCAAAATTCTAGAAAGCTGTACTTTTTGAGTCGATTCAGGACTAAATTTGAGAGATTTTTGAAACTATGGAGCTGGGATATACTCTCCCGGAAAAAAAATATCCGGGTTACGCCACGTTCATTTTGTGGGGGTCCAACGACGTGGATATGACGTAGTTTTTCAAACTTTTGACGAAACCTTTCCTCACTTACGTTTCAGTGGCTAGATCCCATTCGTCTGGACCTTGGTGTAATGGGTAGGTGAGCTGGAGACCTTGGTGGTTACAAGGCGCCACTGGCGCGCTTGTGGTCTGAACGAGGACAGCTCACTATAGAGGTTTCACCGCTACTGCTGTGGTTGTGTTACATGTGGTTCAGCTTGATTGGCAGTAAGGTGATTTTGTGAGCCTGAAATCAGACCCCAACGCACGGCGCGGCGCCAGATCCAAACCGATGCCCTCTCGAGGTCATCCCTAGCTGACACACCCGTCACAGCAAGCTGGTGGGGGAGGGGAGGTTTGTACAATCTACATCCACACTTACCAGCAAGTCCCCTCCGACGATCTAGTCTCCAACTCCAAACACTCAGTTCTATCTACTCGACCCTCGCCATAACACAAACGCTAGCGTCTTGAACACACAAACCGTGGGTACAAAGGCCTATTCGGATCCAGTTCTGAACCCTTCCGCAGTTCTTTTCGCAGGGTATTGACACCTCGGCATTACCATCCTTCTGCCAATCCGTCAGAAGAAAACTGTGTTTTATTAACCACCGCCATTCACCACCACCATTACCGAAAGCCTTAGCCAACGAGTTTGTGTTGCACACATAAGCACCACCCAGATTAGATCGTGGGGTAGCCCTTCCGCCAGCATTACTTCCTTTTGATTCTTCCACCTTACTAGCGTGGCTCTCGTGTAAAGCCGTCAGCAGACACATCACGATACGAAATGGATTGGCCGCAGCTAAACGTGCACAATGATACCATCAGCAGCCACTGATACCTCTTCGCATCTCCTTTTCTAGTCTCTGCAACAGGTGAGATGGTGGCTCTTAAGGAAAAATGGTGCGTTCCTTGCCGCGCCCCGCCGCTAATAAGCTTGTGAAAGCGTCTCCTCTTCTGACACCCACCGCGTCGTCCGCTCGCACACCAAATGCGCTGTCGCCTCTCACTATAACTTATTCCCCTTCAACCCTCGATGCTCCTCGCAGCCCGATCGCGTCGCTCACATCGCAATTGCGTATCCTGTATTCTCCTCGCATCGGATCTCCGCAGACGCGATATCTATCGAGTAGCTTCCAATCGAGAGGCCTTTCTACCGCCACCGCCGCTGTCAGAATAACTGACTTCGGCAATCTCGGTGTCACCGAGGTTCGCGTTTCCAGAGATCTTTCCACCACTGGTGTCGCCTCCTCCGCCGCTCGTCTGTCACCGCGTGCATCCGCTGCGCCCCGTCCGCCGTTCCGCGTGCATTCGTCCGTGCGACAAAACCGGCAGCAGCAATCAAAACAACAACAGCAACAATTTCCAGATCAGCAGGAAGCCATGGCGGTAGCCGTGCAACCAGCCATCGACACGCTCTCTCCTCCTCCCGTCGGTGCTGCCGTCTCTTCCTCTCACCAACCTCTACCAGCCGAACCAGTCGCACCCTCAACGGCATCAAACCCGCCACCAGATGTACCCGTCCACTCCAGCATTCGCATCAACGACGAGCGACAGCTGCTCGCCCACGATCGCGTGGTGCTGAGCGACGTGCCGCCGTCGCTCGTGCTCACGCCGCACGCGGGGGGATTGGGAGATTCGGGCAAAGGGGCGGGGGAGGCGGAGGCACAGGGCGTGTTTCTGGGGAGTCGGTTCCGCGAGGCGCACAGCTGGCACGTGTTCCGCCTGGGCGTGCTCCGGTGAGGCGCAATGCAGTGTTGGCGCACGATGGTGAGCCCACGCTGAAGGTGAAGCGCAATGTGGTGTGATCGCATGCTGTCGAGCGCCGTTTCCTGGCTTGTTTATAGAGGCGCGGTATAAACAGATCCTGTAACATTTAAGAAGCGCTGAGAGAGAGGGGTGGCGCAGGGAGCGAGGGTAGCACGGCGAAACGGGGGTGAGTGCCCAGGAAAGCTGTCGCAGTCGTGTGAAAGCACTTTCTCACCCGTATCTTGTCTCGAAATTGTACTAGATCGCTAACGAGCGTGCGCACCATGCGGCTCTACCCCAATTGAACTCCCATATGACCCCCATGTCGCCCTGCGTCGTTCACTCGTGCTCCGCTTTCCCCTCCTTCCCCTCCACTCCGGCAACCTACCCACCACTCCCCCAAGGGGCGCGCTTCCTGTGCTGCTTCCGCTTCAAGCTCTGGTGGATGACGCAGTGGACGTTTGAGTCGGCTCAGACAAACCCCTCCCCACTCTTCCCCCCACTCTTCCCCCCACTCCCTCCCCTTCCCTCTCACTCCCCCAGGGGCGCGCGGTTCCTGTGCTGCTTCCGCTTCAAGCTCTGGTGGATGACGCAGCGCGTGGGCAGCAGCGGGCGCGAGGTCCCCGTGGAAACGCAGTTCCTGCTGCTCGAGCTCCCCCCGCAGCAGCAGCAGCAGCAGGACAGTGGGGGTGAGGGGAAGGTTGTGGGGGAGGAGGCGGGCGGCAGCGCGAGCGCGAGGGTGTACGTGGTGGTGCTGCCGCTGCTGGACGGGTCCTTCCGTGCGGCGCTGCAAGGCTCGCCCTCCGACCATCTTGAAGTGTGCCTCGAGAGCGGTGAGCAGCATGGCATTTTGGTGCTTCCAAACCGCAGCAAATATCAGCTGAGAACTACATTAAAAGGGGGGGCCGGGTGGGGGGGAAGGGAGGGGGGAGGGGGGGGAGGGGGGGGAGGGGGGGTGTACAAGTAGGAAGAATGGTGAAAAAGAGGTCTACGATGAGTGACTCTGTGCCCTATGCCCCGTGCCCTATGCCCTGTGCCCTGTACCATGTGTCATGTGTAACGGGCTAACAATTCTACTCCAGAACCCTCTGCTCCGCACACATATGAAAGAAGCATGCGACTTCCTCGTTCGTGAGCTGTCTAAACTCTCTTTCATCCCCCCATCATGCTCCACCCCTGCCAACCGTAAATGGCCCTCCATGCTGACGTCATGCACGCCCTGTCCATGCACGATCTCAGAAAGCCTATGAGTATATCCTTTGCTCTCTCCTCCTTCTACCTCTCACCATCCCCTTTCACCACTCACCATCCCCTTCCACCACCCACCACCCCCTTCCACCACCCACCACCCCCTTCCACCACCCACCATCCCCGTTCTAACAACCCGTGTGAAACGCTATGCCATCACAGGCGACCCCAAGTTGTGCACGGGGGAGTCACTGCACGCAGTGTACATGAACTACCATGAAAAACCCACTCATTACTCCCCCTCTCATTTCTTTCATTCATTCCCTCTACCCCGTCACCAAGCGGCCCCAAGGTGTGCACAGGGGAGTCACTGCATGTTGTGTGTATTCTTTCATCTCTCCCCTTTCCACCCCTTTCCACCCCTTACAAACCCCGCCATCAGGTGCCCCCCAGGTGTGCACGTATGAGTCTCTGCACACAGTGCACATGCACTATCGGAAGATTCCCATGCTTATTTGTCTCCTTTCCTTTGCTCTCCCCACCTTCCACCCTTCCACCCGCTGTCACCAGGCGACCCCCAGGTGTGCACGGATGAGTCACTGCACGCTGTGTACATGCACAGCGGCACCAACCCCTACTCCATTATCGCCGATGCTGTCAAGTGCGTCCCTGCCTGCCACCCTGCCCACCCTTCTCTCACTCTCTCACTCTCTCACTTCTCACTCTACGCCTCTCAACCGCTCTCCACTCCCCGCACATGCACAGCGGCACCAACCCCTACTCCATTATTGCCGATGCTG